AGCTGACAAGAATACAGCCCAAGGGGTTATTCTTGATGTTGCAATAGTAGGCAGCGACTTCGATGGGTTAAATATCATTTTTAGTGGCTGATGATTTGAAACTAGAGTGAACGCACGCCCATTTAAGAATCTATGAAAACGTTTTACATAACGACGTAGCTATAGCTCTTACATGGGGGGGGGGGGTGAGAGCAGTGGCGGCTCGTGGTCTATGCTGGAAGGGATTTACATTTTTGACTAGACGATGTATAGGTAACCTGACGTAGCATGGTTCAGGATATCGCTCAAAAACATTTATTTTTCTTAAAAAAAATAATTTATGCAGTTCAATGGGAGGGGGGGGCGTTCGAACCCCCAAAACCCCCCCTTATATACGTCCTTGGTTTTACAGCAAAAACAATTGCCAGTGCTTCTCTCTCTAGCTGAGAGTAATTTCTTTCTGCCTCAGAGAGAGTACCAGAAATAAACCATATGGGTCTATCAAAACTATTTATGGTATGTCACAGTACCGCCCCAACTCCTGAAGAACTGGAGTCACAAATTAGTTTGAGTGGGTTTCACCAGATAATAATGAACAAGCACTTGATTATCTATTAATAATTTTTTTCTTGCCGAAAACGCCTCCGTACAAGCTTTATCCCATTTAAATTCCACCCCCTGCTCTAATAAATGGTATAAGGGTTTCAAGATCGATGACAACATAGGAAGAAATTTACTATAAAAATTTAATAAACCCAAAAATGCTCTCAGCTCAGTTAAGTTTTTTGGGTCAGGAGCATTGAAAATTGCTTGAACTTTTTCAGATGTTGGATGTATGCCTTCGGCGTCAATCCTATGCCCCAAGTACCTACTCTACAGAATCAGAAAAAAATCTACATAACATAAAATGTTAACTTTCACATTATACTCTGCCATTCGAGAAAGCACCTGACACATTTTTGTAACAGTCGGCAAAATTTTTACCCATGACCAAAGTGTCATCCAAGTAACAAATCACACCATTCAAACCACTTAAAAATTTAAACCATAGTCATTTGAAAAATTGCTAGGGCACTGGTAATCCCATAAGTTAGCCGAGTATATCTATACAACCTAAAATTCGTGTTAATAGTCAAAAGTTCCTGGAGAAGAGGTATCCAAAGACAATTTTTGATAGGCACCCAGCAAATCGAGGATACAAAATACAGAGCCCCCATTCAATTTTGTTAAAAGGTCATTTATATTTGGGAGAGGATAAATATCCTGACGCAACACTTGGTTTAAGGTCACCTTAAAATCCACGCAGACCCTGATATCCCCATTTTTTTTTGGTACAATTACAATAGGACTCGCCCAATCACTGGTACTTACCGGAACATCTTTATGGGTTCCTTAGTAGAACTTGAAAATACTGATGGAAACTTTGCTGCAAAATGAGAAAATGCTTGGCTTTTATCAGTATTTTCACGTTCAGAAAAATTTGACACAGTATTAATAAAAATATTATTCCTCCACATTGGACTCATTATATCTAACCAATCACGTCCCAGCAGTGATGTGAAATTTTTCTCAGTTTTAATGACTAATAAGGGTAATTCAAACGTCTGATTATTGAAACAAACACTGACGAACATTTCCCCCACTACTGAAACTAATTGACCTGTCACAACACTTAACTTACAACTAACAGGTTTTAGCACTAGACCCCTAAACAATTTTTGAAAAAGTTCATTGGAAATCACTGACTTTGATGCACCTGAATCAATTTCCATAACAATAATCTTACCATTCAGTTGCAGGCTAATTTTTTTTGCATCATTTGGCCCAGTTAAAGCTGCCAATCGTGCCAGAACATCATGCGAGTCGTACTGCTCAACATATTCAGCAGGGCATGTAGATGGCTCATGAGCTCTTTCACAACGAAAACATTTCTGACTCACAGGCCTAATATTTCTCACCACCTTCCTAGAACCAGCACCTTGACCAACATTTTTTTTTTTTATAAACTGCACTAACGACCTGGATACTACTATATGGTTGAAATAATTTGGTTTGAACATCTGCTGGCTCGAAACTTAAAGCTAATTCCACAGCTGACTTAAATGTCAAGTTTTTTTTAGTTAATAATTTTCTCTGATAAGAAGGTGATGCCAAACCACATACAAAACGATCTCTTAAGGCATCATCTAGAAAAGTATTAAATGAGCATGACTTTGCACCATTTTTCAATTTCACCACAAAAGATGGCAGCTGGATCTTGAGTACACTTATAAAATTTAAATTTTTCAGCAATAATAATTGTTACTGGACTGAAATGGTTTCTCAAAGTCGTTTTCAGAGACTCGAGTTTATTTCAGTTTTCACAAAAGTTCACTAAAATTGGCTTTTTTTCGACTGAATTTGGCAAGCTTAGAAATTTAGCAGTAACAAGGTTATGGTTATTTCACGCAGAATTTTATGCTTTTCAAATTTGAATACCGTGACATTTTTCGTACGATGCATCGTTTGCAAGATATTACCAGAAAACCGGAAAAAATCCGAACATTTCGAGGATTTTCGCGTTTTTCGACCTGAGCCGGTACTGCTACGAGGCAGCAAACTTCAGATTCGTATTCAGCACCCCAAGAAACATACCTATAATTCCGTTGAAAAACTTTCTACCGCATTCATGTTATGAAACAGGCACTTTTGAACACTATTTGATCAGACTATTTACAAATATTAACTAGAAGATGCTACTTTTATGTTAAATACGTAGCACTACTAGCATTTATTGCCAGCATTGTGTTTGATTTATTTTAAAATGATGAACCTTTGGTCTTCTTGGTAAGGTGTGATGTCAAATATCGAATTTGGTATCTGTTGTTGGTATTGTGTACCTACTAGTTTTCCTCTCGAGAAATTTGTATGATTACTTTTTTATGTCTTTTCCATTTTATCTTTATTTATTTTTGTAGATTTCTTTCGGTAACTGGAACAATTTTTTAATTATTATTTCACTTTTTTAATTAATATACCCTGTCATATATTCTAAAATATCCCAGTTGTTCCCAAAGCCCCCGTCACACAAACCCAGTATTCCGTTGTCCGTTTGCGTATTGATTGACACCGGTCTCCAGAGCAATGAATTATTTGCCCCTGGATTTAACAAAATGTTTTCCATGCCCTATTGTGTCCCTCTTTTTTTTTTCTTTTCTTTTTTTTTATGTGTAGTACAAAATCGATGTGCCTATAGTACATAAAATTAAATTAGATTCTTGTTACAGGGAGGGGATAATTATTTTAATCCAAAGTCAAGATGAGTGATGAACCATCGCGGATATTGTGTTACGCGGCCGACTCATTTTTCTTTTAATAAATCGTTGAAGGAAGACGCTTTATTCTAATTAAAGCTTAGCACAAGGGAAATATGAAGTGGCACGCTAGGTCATATAACAAAAAAATTGTTTCACAAGGTTTTAGGTCGAACTATTTCAGATTTCTTGTTAGCATGCGATGTTTAGTAGGACACACCTGGTTTTTTTCTATTAGTTTTATATCAACATCAAATTTTATTAGAATATTAATTACTTATTATTACATTTAATGTTCTTCCGATAGGGAAGCCGAAAAAAATAACATTTACATATTAAAATATGTTAATATGATTAAAGATGCAGGACAGGAAGTGTAAAATTTTGATGGTCCAAAAAGTTTGTTGTTTCAAAACAAACAACCATTTCCTTACAGCTGATTTTGATTGCAAATTAATATCTCTTTCAAACAATTAATATTTTGTACTCTTGTGAAACGGCTACGTTTTACCAAGGTCTCGGTACAAGAAAGGTTAAATCAAAACTAATTATATTGTCGGTAATTAATTATTGAAAAACCATCAGATCTTTGACCTTGCCGGCTTTTAATTTTTTGTACAATAATAATTGTCTATGGTTCTAGTCAAGTGTTCACCCAATGATTATTATTTTTTTTTTAAGACAAAAAAATTAGGTCAGGCTTGGCATGGGATAGGATTTTGATTGAGTTTGAATTCCGTGTAAACTAATTAAGTTACTCAGCTGTTTTGAGCAATGTGTTGGAAAACTACAAAGTTAATACAAGAAGTTATTCTATTAAGAAACTATTTGGTATCCCCATGAACTTCTCTCATAAAAACTGCAATAATGATAATGTCGTCGAGTATAACAACTGATAATCATTTCCTGAACTTCCTCTGCCTTCCTTTGACTTCCTTTGGATTTTCTCAATAATTTCCCATAATACTTCCTCAAATTTCTCCAAATTTTACATAATTTCTCAAATGTCCATGATTTGAACTTCCTTGGATATCTTGGACAAACTTATTGTACCTACTTCCTTGGTTGGATGTAAAAGTTTTCACTGTGGTTTCCACCTCCCCCGTAACAGGTAAACCACCTCCCAAAATTTCACACACAATATCCTATATTATTTGAAGTTTTCCGTAGTTCCTTTCGATTTCCCCAAAACTACCCACAAGGATACCTACCTCAGATTTTCATTTGAACTCCCATCAACTTCCTCAAAACTTCTCCTTGCATCTTCTGACTAGAAGAAAACAAATACCTTTAGATTTAGGTAAGTTTTAGGTTGTCACAACTTACAGTATGGAAATAGAGGTTAGTTCTGAGTAATTTCCACTTAACCAGGATCAACAAAATAAAGATCACGATGAATAATAAGAACGCAAACTTTAACTTATTTTAGATTATACATTTACCCTTACATTTAGACTATACGTTACCCAGAAACAAAAATAAATCACTACTCGCCAACATGTTCAACACCAAATTTTTATTCAAGTGTATGTGGGATTTCTCTATTAATCATTTTTCTCGATATTCCCAAGCTAATTTGTTTTGAAGAAATAATGCTTCTTATTATTTGAGGGGACAAAACCGAACATCAAGGCAAAATCCCCGCATTTACTCTTACGTCACACACCGACACTTTAAAATACCGCGAACTTCTTGTAGTGGTTCACTTAATTGCGAATTTACGAGGTGGTACCCAGGTGGTTCAGTCGTGTATGTACGAGGAATCGCCCTTTTTTTCTGTGTAATTGAACGGTTCTGATTCGAAATTAAAATGCCTGCCAACGGTCAAGGTAATGTCGCTACTGATGAAGTGGAGGTTTATAGTGACACTTTGGGTTCATCTTCGGGTAAGTCAGTTTTCGATTTATAGTTAGTCAGTAATTTGTTTCTCTCCTCTGTTTTGTTTTGACTAATATAACAATGCCATTTGCCATTCAAGATTCTATACTAAGATTTTGGAACTCAAAATCCATTTTTCAAATTTTGACTGTAATAAGCACTAAATGCTATCTTTTGAGTATTCAAATATTCGACTTGTTACCCTTCCACTTAAAAGGGCACAGGAGCGGATACAGGCCTTTTGAAAGGGCGGGGGAGGGGCAGTTTAAGTTAAAGTAAGTCAGATTGGGTTAGTTGGTTTTGGCAGCGCATTGTGCAGGATACGGTTTTTCGAAGGAATGACCCATAAAAATATGGGAATTAGGGAACTATTTAGGAGAATAAGGTGATTTTAAATAGGTAGGTACAGGGTGTTTTTTTATATATTGGCACCCCACCTACGGCCTTTACCTTTACAGGTAGAAGAAAGGTGTAAATACAAAAGTTCTACAGTTTTGACTGAATTTTTAGAAACCATGGTCAGAAACAAAATTTGAATGTCAGAAAGGTGAAATTTTGCATGCTTTCAGCTTTTTTCAAATTGGATGCCCTATATTTGGTTCTATATTCTTGAAGAGCACAATTTCCTGATTCCAAAACTATATAGTTTGTCTATACCTATTTGGTTGAGCCGTCTCCAACATATTTGGTTCTAAAAATTTTAAAAATACTATCAGAGAAACCAAGTACCTCAAATTTTACCTGCAGCTTTCACCTGTATAGGTAGAATGGTGCACAAAATCAGTAGTAGAATAGTATTTTTACAATTTTTGGAGCCGATATATGAGAGACAGTTTAAACAAACTATATATTTTGGGAATCGGGGCATTGTGCTTTTCAAGAATATAGAATGAAATATAGGGCATCTCATTTGGAAAAAGCTGGAAGCATGCAAAATTTCACATTCCTGACATTCAAATTTTGTTTCTGACCATGGTTTCTAAAAATTGAGCCAGAACTGTACAACTTTTGTATTTACACCTATCTTTTACCTGTAAAGGTAAAGGCTGTAGGTGGGGTGTCAATATATAAAAAAACACCCTGTACTTGAACAATAACTTATTATATAAAGTAAGAATTTGTAAGATTATCCACTCTTTGTTAATTTGCCTTTCAACAGGAATTAATAATGTTACTTTACCAAACTAGTAATATATTGTGATAAGTTATTCAAGTACAAACGAGTGGATTGTTGCGGAACTTATGGGTAGACCTCTGCGGGACGAGCGCAGCGAGTTCCGCAGCTATCTATTCATCAATATATTGTTTAATTACGATACTAATCTGACTCACTACTCACTCAAATGTGCGTTATTCTCATTAGTTTAAAAATTACACATTTCAGGTGAATGTCTTACTTGAACTGTTCAATAGTATATTGGTGATTAGATGGCTGCGGAACTCGCTGCGCTCGTCCCGCAGAGGTCTAACCAGTTCCGCAACAATCCACTTATTTGTACTTGAACAATAACTTATTATATAAAGTCAGAATTTGTAAGATTATCCATTTTTTGTCAATTTGCCTTTCAGCAGGAATAAGTAATGTTACTTTACCAAACTAGTAATATATTCTGATAAGTTATTCAAGTACAAACGAGTGGATTGTTGCGGAATTTATGAGTTTTGATAATGCCAGATAATATATTGTAAAAGACTTTTGCATTATGTTCATTATTGCGAAATGGGATATCTCAGGGAACATTTTGCAGATCATTATTAATTAATTCAAAGTTGGCTCTTTTGTTCCCTCTAATTTGAAAGAAAATTCAACAGCTGAGTGATGTATATCTTCTTTAACTGCGGGAGTTGTACACCTTACAATATTACATATTACTCATTGATCCACTATTACAAAAGATTGAATCTAGGATTTTGTCATCTACATTTCTTGTATTGTTATATTGTGTTAATCCAGAAAAAAACAGTGAGTCAATGAGTTCCGTATATTTTTGACTTACATTAAGTCAAGAGGCATCATGTGCCCCTCCCTTCGATCAAGGGACCAGTCAACAGTGGAGCAATTCATATCACCACATACCAGCACAAAACCATTTTTCACTCTCACTGATCAACATTAGTTTGGTAGCAAAGTAAGCATATGCAGACCGGTCTTCCGGTGGAATATAGACACAACAGACATAGACCGGTACATTACCGTGTTGCAACCAGCAGCCACACATCCTCTGCATCGCTGAAAAAATCGGGGACGAATGCGGCTTTCAGAAACTTTTTAGTTGCTATAAGCTCACCACCGCCATCAGAATTTTGTGATGCGGCTGTTTCCCGATCGCGTCTGAAAATGTCATATTTTTTCAAGTTTACAATTTCGCCGTCGGAGATACCCCTGTGCAGCCACGATTCATTAATATATACAATATCAAAGTCCAAAGCCTCTATACTCAGACAAAACTCCTTAAGTTTAGTCGTTAGTCCTCGTACATTTTGGAAATATACACTCAATTCTATAGAATCCATGAGCAACAACGTTTTATAGAAATCAATTCAAACAATTTAAGCTGCTTTGTACTGCTTCTCCTTGGCCTTGGCAAGCTTCCTAGCATCTCTGAAAAGCAGCTTTTTATCGCTGGTTAGGTTTTTGTTGATGAAAATTGACTTCTCAGCACCGACCAGGAGTAGACCTGGGCCCTTCTTAGTACCAAGAGCCCTTATTTTGGCCTTGACCGCGCCAAGAATATTTTCTTTACACATACGTGAAGTAAATCTCACAATGATGGGCTTAGGTTGTTCGGTATTGTCTGCCTGAACACGATGAATTTCTATATTATTACTTCTAGAGAATTGTTCCATGGAATCAATTTTTCCATCCATAGACTGGATATCAGCCTTTAATTTCTCGTTCTCAGCCTTCAAAACTTCAATACTCTTAATGCTATCGGCAAGTTTCTTCAATATTGCCTCGAAGTCCGTTATCTTATCAGAGCAAAAAGGCAGACTCACTCGACGTGGCCCCGACGACAAGCGTCGCTCAGCGTCAGAAGTACCGACCTAAACTGACTCACTCAAATGTGCGTTATTCTCATTAGTTTGAAAATTACACATTTCAGGTGAATGTCTTACTTGAACAGTTCAATAGTATATTGGTGATTAGATGGCTGCGTCAGTCAGAAACTTAACACAATATATTACTAGTTTGATAAAGTAACATTACAAATTCCTGTTGAAAGAAAGGAAAAGTGACAAAAAATGGATAATTTTACAAATTTTGACTTTATATAATAATAAAGTTATTGTTTAAGTACAAATAAGTGTTGCGGAACTTATGGGTGGACTTCTGCGGGACGAGCGCCAGCGAGTTCCGCAGCCATCTAATCACCAATATACTATTGAACTGTTCAAGTAAGACATTCACCTGAAATGTGTAATTTTTAAACTAATGAGAATAACGCACATTTGAGTGAGTCAGTTTAGGTCGGTACTTCTGACGCTGAGCGACGCTTGTCGTCGGGGCCACGTCGAGTGAGTCTGCCTATGCAACCTCCCCACGCTGCATCAAATGGTGCTGGTTTGGAGAATGAATTGCGTATGTTGCGAGAATCTGTTTCTTTTTGCTCTGATAAGATAACGGACTTCGAGGCGACATTGAAGAAACTTGCCGATAGCATTAAGAGTATTGAAGTTTTGAAGGCTGAGAACGAGAAATTAAAGGCTGATATCCAGTCTATGGAGGTAAAAATTGATTCCATGGAACAATTCTCTAGAAGTGATAATATAGAAATTCAAGGTGTTCCTGAGCGTAAGAATGAAAATTTGCTGTCAATATTGCAAAATATTTGTACATTTGTTAATCACAAAATAACTGAAGATAAAATAGATTTTATTCATCGTGTTCGGGCAGACAATACCGAACAACCTAAGCCCATCATTGTGAGATTTACTTCACGTATGTGTGAAGAAATTATTCTTGGCGCGGTCAAGGCCAAAATAAGGGCTCTTGGTACTAAAATTGTTTAACTGATCTGTTATGTGATTTTGCAACTTATACATTAAAGACAAAGCTATTTATGTAGTTAAGGACAAAAATTATTATACAGGGTGTCTCAAAAATTATATTTTAAACCAAACTACTCTCTAAAGAAAGCCAATAACCAAAACAACTGCTACAAAACTATAATAACCTAAAATATCAATAATAACTACAAACATTAAAACAATGATCATCATAGACTATTTGAAGTAGCGGCTGTTCCTGGGAAACGATTTGGATCTAATACTGTAAAAATATATCAACAAATACAAAAATATGCCATATAGGCCCAGTTTCACAATTGGTGGTAACCTTGTGGTAACCTGCACTGGCTATCGGACTCATATTTGCGGGTTGACTACATGGAATATTCTGAAGCTGGCTAAACGACACATTATGAAACAGATAAATTATAGGTTACCAGTGTCTTGTGTTTACCGTTGGGTTACCATACTGTTTGTGAAACTGGCCCTAACTGTGTTGTTAATACAACAGACCAATATATAATCAAAATCTCTAAACCGATACATCAAACATTTGATATAAAAACTTTGAACTCAATTTTTTAACCGTTATTTTGGTTATTGGCTTTCTTTAGAGTGTAGTTTGGTTTAAAATAAAATTGTTGAGACACCCTGTATAATAAATTTTGTTTTTAACTACATAAATATCTTTGTCTTTAATGTATAAGTTGCAAAAATACATAACAGATTAGATAAACATAGTTTAGCAAACAAAATATTCCATATAAAAACTTTGGACTCAATTTTCTGGGACATACTCGTACAAAGAAGTGACCATAAGCAAAAATGCTTGTTTTCAGGTATAGAATAACATACTGCAGTCTTAAAAAAATCGACCTATCACCAGGATTCTAATATTTAGTGCCATGTCCTTTGTATGGGTGAAAAACGGCAACATTTTTTTGTGAAGAAACGAAAAATTCTGACTTTATATAATAAGTTATTGTTCAAGTACAAATAAGTGGATTATTGCGGAACTTATGGGTGGACCTCTGCGGGACGAGCGCAGCGAGTTCCGCAGCCATTTATTCATCAATATGGTGTTTAATTACGATACTAAAGTGACTCACTCAAATGTGTGTTATTCTCATTGGTTTAAAAATTAGGTACTCATTTCAGGCGAATGTCTGAACAGTTCAATAGTATATTGGAGATTAGATGGCTGCGGAACTCGCTGCGCTTGTCCCGCAGAGTTCCACCCATAAGCACCGCAACAATCCACTTACCTATTTGTACTTGAACAAGAACTTATTATATAAAGTCAAAATTTGTAAGATTATCCACTTTTTGTCGATTGGCCTTTTAACAGAAATTAGTAATGTTACTTTACCAAACTAGTAATATATTGTCACAAGTTATTCAAGTACAAACGAGTGGATTGTTGCGGAACTTATGGGTGGACCTAGCCATCTATTCACCAATATGTTATTCAAGTACAATACTAACCTGATTCACTCAGTTGTGAATTTTTCTCATTGGTTCAAAAACTACATGTTTCAGGTGAGTGTCTTATTTGAACAGTTCAACAGTATATTGGTGAGTAAATGGCTGCGGAACTCGCTGCGCGCGTAGAGGTCCACTCATGAGTTCCGCATTAATCCACTTATTTGTACAGGGTGTTTTTTTATATATTGACACACCACCTACAGCCTTCACCTTCACAGGTAGAAGAAAGGTGTAAATACAAAAGTTGTACAGTTTTGGCTGATTTTTTAGAAACCATGATCAGAAAAAAAATTTGAATGTCAGAAATGTGAAATATTGCATGCTTCCAGCTTTTTTCAAATGGGATGTCCTATATTTCATTCTATATTCTTGAAGAGCACAATGCCCCGATCTATATTTGATTGAGCTATCTCTCATATATTTGGCTCCAAAAATTGTAAAAATACTATCCTACTACTGATTTTGTGAACCATTCTACTTGTACAGGTGTAAGCTGCAGGTAAAATTTGAGGTACTTGGTTTCTCTGGTAGTATTTTTAAAATTTTTAGAACCAAATATGTTGGAGATGGCTCAACTAAATACAGACAAACTAGTTTAGGAATCGGGAAATTGTGTTCTTCAAGAATATAGAACCAAATATAGCGCATCCCATTTGAAAAAAGCTGAAAGCATGCAATATTTCACATTTCTGACGTTTAATTTTTGTTTATGACCATGGATTTTAAAAATTTCGCCAATACTGTACACCTTTCATCTACCTATAAAGGTAAAGGCTGTAGGTGGGGTGTCAATACATAAAAAAACACCCTGTACATAATCTTATTGATTTTGTATAAATATTTATTAGAACAAAAAAAAAACAATACATCAACTCGACCACTAATGATATACTGTTTGAGGTTAAAGTTCTTGGGACAAAGACAAAAGTGTGATTTTTTATAGGTTCCTAGCTTTCTGAACATTCTTAAAACTTAAAATATGGTTTTGTTTTTTTTTTTTTAATTTTATTATTTTATTTTAAAAAAGGGGGCAGTTGCCCTCCCTGCCCCCCACTGTATCCGCCACTGAAAGGGCACAGAATCGGTAAGGGCGATTGACTGTGGAAAAATTTGCGAAAACCCCCTTTGACTTGGTTTTTGATTCCAGGATTAGGTGTGAACAAAATTTGAGAAAAAAAACTATTTTTCGATTGTACAGTTTTGGAATCGGTACCTACACTTAGATTATAGAAAAAACTTCAAAATTTGATATATTGTTCTAGGTAGTTTACCTACTTACTATTCTAATAAAACAGTGGCTCATGGCACAGTGCCTTTGTCGAGCAGCAACAAAATCTCTAATATGCTATTTTCCAGATGAAGAAACAGCCTATTTGAAACAGTCCTTAAATAGAACCTTCACTGCTTGTTTCGCCTCCAACGAAAAACAATCAACATTCGAAAGTTTACCATCTCGCAGAGATCACGAAACATTCTTCCGAGAGTGCATCGAAATTCTACTAAAAGAAGCTGTATTCGAAGGCACCTCCCGAAGAAACAAAGTACTCAACTTCCAACAGCCGGAAAAACTAATGGAAATTTTCGATTTCAAACTACAAAACGATCCTAGCACGCATAGCGAGCTGGTCAAAAAGCTGAAAGACATTATCAAATACTCTGTTAAAACTGGTCATCCGTATTTCGTCAATCAGCTTTTCTCGAGCGTTGATCCCTATGGATTTGTGGGACAACTTTTAACCGATGCCCTTAATCCTAGTGCGTACACTTACGAAGTGGCTCCGCTGATAATTTTAATGGAAGAAACTGTATTGAAGGAAATGAGAGAAATTGTTGGATGGACTAGTGGTGAAGGCGACGGCATTTTTTGTCCTGGAGGATCTATAGCTAACGGATACGCTATCAGTTGTGCCAGGCATTATTATTTTCCAGATGTGAAAGTAAGAAGAATTTGTGAAAAAAATGTATGCAAGTTTTATAATAATTTCTTTTATAGGCTAAAGGTTTGCGCAGTTTACCAAATCTGATTTTGTTCACGTCAGAAGATGCTCATTATTCCATTAAAAAGCTGGCATCGTTTCTTGGTTTGGGTACCGAAAACGTCTATTTGGTCAACACAGAAGCTAATGGTAAAATGGACGCGGGTCATTTGGAGGAACTTATTGGAGCAGCTATCAAAAATGGTAAAGTATAACTTTTGAATTTTTTTTTTCACAAATCGGTGGATTCATAGATGATTTAGAGTGGGTATCATAAAACTTTTTTGATAGTTAACTTAGAAGTTAACTTCTGGAATGACGTTACTTTTCATAGTAATTCCGCAAGTTAACTTTTTGCTATCTGTCAATATAGTTTTATAATAGGTACCCGCCCTTAATCTATTGAGAGGGTTTTTATTTAAATTCAATGTGCCACTCAAGCGATATCATAATATAGGGTTTTTCTAAACCTTATTACTCACAAGTCTTATCTATGATTTTTCCATTTTTCAACATTTTACTCTGAATTTTGGTAGCTGGTATAAGTGGTTACTATGTATTTTTGACATTATTATGCATCACTTGAGGTTAAACTGGGAATTATCTCAAATATCAAATTTTAAATGGCACATACCCTGTACCCATACAGCACAGAGACATCTTAAAGACGTCCCTAAGATGTCTACAAACGACATTCAAAACGTCTTTTAGACGGCTGCTTATGTCTTCTGGACTAATATTTCCTTATTATTTCGTTGTATTACTCATTTTATAAGAGTGAATTTTTGTCTATTCCAGGTGCTAGGCTTTCTGAAATAATTCTGAGGTTTTTAAACTGTTCTTTTCAAAATGTTGCTGGAAAGTATTTTGGAACGTTCTGAATGGCTTATTGAAGTTCTAAAGTGTTCTAACTTGGCTTGAAGAGTTCTGGAGCATTTTAGAAGTTTTTCATTAATTTCTAAATTGTTCTGACAGATTTTAGAGCTCTATATTGAAGCTCCAAGGTGTTTTAAATTGGTTCAAAAGGGTTCGAAAACGTTTCCAGTTCTAAATTGAATCCTAATTATTCTGGAATAACTCTGAAGTTTCTGAATTGTTCCAGAATGCTCCTGAAAATTCTGATTTGGATTTGAACTGTTGTAGATGCTTAGGTATTCAAGGGTTTAAAGTTCTGCAGCAATTTTAATCCGCTCTTGAACGCCTTCTGAAAGGCGTTTTGTGACTTTTAACTTGAATCCTAAGATTCTGGCATTTTTTGAAATGTTTCTGGAGACTCTAGAATGTTTGAGTGTTTTGGATCGTCCAAAAATGGGTTTCAAACTTCTGAATTTTTCTAAAATACTTTTGGAAATTTTTAATTGAATTTTAAGTGTTTTGAACTTTCCAAAAGGCTTACTAAAGTTCTAAAGTAGTACTTTAAATGGTTTCCAGTATACTTCTAAATTGAATGAGAAACAAATTCTTTGGGAAGTTTTTGAAGACATCTTGAAAACGACATTCAAGACGTCTGCTTACGGGTTGGAGGCATCTTAAAGACGTCATATTATGTTACAAAGCTCAAAGTCTGTCAAACGTGTACCCAAAAACGTCTTCATGACATTTTTCCAAGAACTTTTCCATCTAAAATGGATCGGTGTAGAATTATTGTTTGTTAGATTATCATCCCAAACACTATTAATTTCCACAGCTACTTAGATGCATATAAAAAGTATACATTTTTTCTGAAGGACAGTAAGATGACTCTCCCATTTAGTTAAAAGGGCTTTTTCTAATCATCAATAGTTTGATGTAACACAAGGATAACTTTCTCCATTTTCATTTTCCTTGAACAAAAATCGAGAATATGCTTCTAGATTTATGATATCTCTGTTGCTTCCAGATTCAGAGGGATTAAAAGTTCTAAAACAATCAAAGAAAAACTATTTGTAAGAGCTGTCAAATCATTATCAACTTTTTTGTAAATCGTCATCAAAGCTATAGGTACCTACAGAGTACAGAAAATTCCTTTAGTCAAAACATCTATAACTCATAGTCAAAGTTTGTATAAAAATATTTTTTTCCACAAACGAAAAACCCGTTGAGAAAAATATGATTGGGTGATCTCAGCTATATATACTTTTTAGATGGCAAACCGTTCCTGGTGAGTGCTACCGCCGGTACCACCGTAATCGGTGCATTCGATCCTATTGACAAAATAGCAGATATTTGTCAGAAACACAAACTGTGGTTACATGTGGATGCTGCTTGGGGAGGTGGTGCACTCATGTCCAAAAAGCATAGGACACTATTGAAAGGAATCGAAAGGTTAGTATCTATTTTGTGAATAAAAATTCGAATACTAATCAATACGGAATCAACAAACAAACAAAAAATCCTTCATTTTTAATTTGCCCATTTAAAGACAAAAATCAAATCTCATTTCCTAGCCTAACACGATTATTTTGTAACCAGTTATTTATCTAATAATAATTATAAAAGATCGTGCTAATTAGGACCTTGATATTGCAGGAAGGTAATCTTATTATAGTTGTTAAAATAGTAAAAGGAAAAAAACCAGATAGGTAGGTACTAGTAGCTAGTACCGCTGTTGCATTATTTGTCCATGTATTAATTAAGATTTTATGATTAGGTCATGATCAATTTTGTTTGATTCAGGTAGGTTATGATTTGAGAAAAAAAAAACAGATTTTACTGTTGGAGAAGCGCAAAAAGAAATAATTATCTACACTAGACTCTTATTATCATATTTTATTTGTCATTGGTCATTAGTTTTTCATCATTGTGAATGTCGTGTATAATTCTTGTTTATTAAAGCCTAATTTCTAAAGGAAGGTGATTCAGTGAATCATTACAATTTAATAAACAAGATGGATAAACTCTGAACGATTTGACGCTGATCAAAACTTTCCAAAAGCTGCACAAGAGTGATGAAAGCAACTTTCAACAATTTTATATCATCCGTTGATGAGCTAGAAAATGATGGAAAACTGATACTCTTGGTGAACTATGTAAGCCGCAACAATTATGAGCACATATCCTGCTGTTCTTCTTACTCAGAAGCTATTAAGATTTTGGATTCAATTTTCATTAAACCTAAAAATGAAATTGTCGTATCATTATTACCATCTTGGAAGGTCTAGGTAGGGACGAATAAATTAGAAGACACAACTCGATGCTAGGGACTCTATTTACTTTGACACACCCGCTATATGCAAATACTGGTTTTCTGTCCACCTGGCTATCCACGAACTACATAGTTGTCAGAAAACCGCACCTTAACTATTAAAAACCCTCCAGGTGAATGTCAATCCTAAAAGACTAAAATATAAAGCAGATGCTTAACAGCATCTCCATTTCCTTAAAGTAATTTCACATTCACCAGAGGTCAACACTTATTTCTATACTACAAACTATTACTAGGCTCTATCATACTATGAAACAAAATATTTACGGTAAGCAGATTGTTTAACAAATCTTTTTGGTCTGCCTTGTGTCATTCTTTTTGGGGAAGCATCATCTAGGTTTGGCGCGCTGTCATCAGTGTCATCCACCGTTTTGATTGGCACTGATGGGGTCGCATACCCTGTGACACTCGCGTTTTCATTATCTCGTGTTTCACTGTTTCTGCACAATAAATTACCATCACCCTGCAACAGACTGGGAATATTCGGGGGGTACACTAGGGGGAATAACATCATTATTGATATATTCATGGTTCTCTGAAAGGATGCCTAATTTGGGAAAATAATATGGAGCGTAAATCAAATGCCACCTATTTCGTCTATATTCACCAACATCAGTTTCAAATAACGTATGACCTTGGTTCTGGACCAATTTCCACGACTTTCCCATATTTTCTGACATCAACCACCCATACAGAATCCCCAATAATAAAAGTCTCCAAATCCCTGGCTTTATGTCTCTTGTTATAATTTCTTTCTTGTTTCTCTTTTATTTCCCTCTCTTTTTCCAAAAATCGTGATTTCGTGTCTAATGACTTCTCTATAGCAAGCTTGGCAACTGAGGCAAATTTGATTTCAGTTTCCGATTCATTAAAAGTTCTGAGGGCTCAAGAGGTGTACAGCGATAGGCCAATAAAGCCAAAAATAGGTCCTCATGACAATTTTTTTTGATAAGACGCTTAGCAGTTTGTACGGCTCTCTCCACTCCCCCATTACTCTGAGGCCAATTAGGACTTCTAGTTGTGTGAATAAAATTATAACTTTTAGCAAAGCCTAAAAATTTTGAAGAAAACTGTGTGCATCGATCAGTTCTGACTAAGTCAGGGATTCCATACCTTGCAAAAATCTCTTTAAATTTGGGAATGATAGCCTCTGCAGTCATACTTGTTAAAGTAAAAATTTCGAACCACCGAGAAAAATAGTCAGTGGCTATTATATACCATTTATCATTACACTTATAAAAATCAAGGCCAAGTTTTTGCCAAGGCCTTGTAACAGTTTTATCCTTGTACAAGGTCACTCTATGGTTTCCACGGTGTTCAACACATTCTGGGCAATGTGTCACAACATTGGTGATCTGTGTTGATAGACCGATCCACCACACATTAGACTTTGCGCGTTCCCTACATTTTACTATGCCTAGATACCCCGTATGCATAAATTCTAGGCACTTGAGTTGTGAACTTTTCGGGCAATAATTAAATTTTTTCCTGGAGTATAAATAACGGAATATTTATATCGCATCAGACGCATGCGAAATCTTTGCAAACGAGGTGTTAAACTCATCCAAATTTCTAGTTTGAAGGATCTGAAGCAGAGGCTTATGATCAGTTTCGAAGATAAGGCGAGGCACTCCAGAAATATAATCGGTAAAATATTCGGCCGCCCATGTAAGAGCAAGGGCCTCTTTTTCAGTTTGAGCATAGCTGGGCTTAGTAATCGTGATGCAAAACCTATAATTTCTCGAGAGCTTTCTTTATTTTCTTGCATTAAACAAGCACCTATGCCAAAAGAACTAGCATCAGCACTAATTATTATTGACTCAAAAAATGTCAAGATTGGTGGACACTCTAAAACCTCTTTTAGGGTCTTGAATGCCTTTTCTTGGGACGGTCCCCATAAAAATTCAATGTTTTTCTTTGGTAAACTTGTCAATGGCTCTAGTATTTCTGATCCATTATGTATGTATTTTGCCGTAAGATTAATCATGCCTAATAATCTCAATAGGTCTGTCCTATTTTTAGGTGTAGGAAATTCACGTATGGCTTTCACTCGGTTTGGGTCAATTAAAATTCCATTTTCCGATATCACATGGCCCAAGTATTTTACAGTTTTTGCAGCCATGTGACATTTTCCTTTGTTCAGGGTGATACCTTCCTTATGAAGCTTAGTCAAAACTTTATTTAAAATTTCATCATGCCTTTCCAGAATGCTCGCATGAATCAAGATATCATCCATATGCGTTACACATCCTTCAATACCTGCTAATATTTTAACAAAATTCATTGTGAAATACTCAGGCGCACACGAGATTCCAAAAGGGAGCCTTTTAAAGAAAAAAATATTAATTTCTACGTTTAATTTAGGCAATAGTGGTAAAGGGACAGTTCGAGGAACACTCTACAAAAGGCTTAGCGTCGGGCTTAATTTTAATTGACATTTCATTTTTAAATTCTCCTATCTCACGAAATATTCCAGGGAACTTTGTAGACTGCAGGCCAATTGCAACAAAGTCTAGACGATTTTCACCAGAAGATAGACACTTTATTTCTATTGAAATAAGAGACCTTCTTTCAGATAAAATCATAGGAGAAAACAACTTTCCTTGGCGGGCACGTGTTGGTAACGACAAATGAAACGCACAAGAAAAGGATGGTGATCGATTACTCTCAAACCATTACTTAACAGGTTTACATATTTGGATGCTCATTCTCTGCCCAATATTGAAGATATTGCTCATGCTGCGGCGAAATTCAAGATTTTCAGTACTATAGATTTACAAAGTGCGTATCACCAAGTTCCCATGCGTGACGACGAAAAGTAGTATAGGTAGGTACTGCTTTTGAGGCAGTTGGTAAATTACATCAGTTCCGAAGAATTCCTTTTAGTGTAACAAACGGAGTTGCGTGCAGGGCCGTAGCGATATGACTATCCCTAGGGGGGGAGACTGAGATGCGGCGCCCCCTACACGCCGCGAAGGCGAAAAAAAATATGTTTGATCACCACATCCAAATTTCGCCAATTTTAAGCAAATGTGGGCATAATTTTTTTAAATAAAAATTAGATCAATTATGGCCGTTTGCACCGACCATTTTAAGGAAGCCTTAGCGATAAGTATTCCTTAAAGTGACATTTCTCCGCGTAAAAATGTCATTTTAAGGGATACTTATCGCTAAGGCTTCCTTAAAATGATTGGTGCAAACGGCCATTGATGTTGTATTACTAAGGGCGGGTATTTATAAAGCTATTCTGACAGATAACTCAAAGTAAACTTATGGAATTACCATGAGAAGAAACGTCATTCCCGGAGTTAACTTTTAGTTATTCGCCCTTGAAAACCAAACTTATGTATTGAGTGAGACTATATATCTATTACCAATTCAATTTTCGGATTTTCTTAGACAGTTTTGGGTAAAAATAATGAAGTGTACAGTGTACATTGTACATTTTCAAAATAAGTACATCAAATTTTTTAAATGTTTATTTTAATTAAATTTCTTTGTTTTTGCACATTGTCCATTTTGGCACCACTGTGCCAGCTACGCCCTGGGGGGGAGGCTCCCCCGTCTCCCCCCCTGTTGGCTACGCCACTGGTTGCGTGTTTTCAGCGGATAATAGAGTACATAATAAAATCAGAGAATCTTGAAGGTGATGTCTATGCATACCAACCTATTTATAGATATTATGATATACGGTAGAAATGAGGCAGAAAAATTATAAAGAATTTTTACTCGTTGTGAGATAATACAATTTTACCATAAACGAAAAGAAAAGTTCTTACTCCCTAAAATCAATCAAACTTCTTGGACATCTGATCGAGAATGATGCCTCAAAACCTGATCCAGTTAGACTTGAACCTCTAAGAAAACTACCCCTACCTAAAGACTCTCAGTCTCTAGAAAGAGCTCTTGGGATGTTCCCCCATTACTCAAAGTGGATACCTTGCTTTTCAGAAAAAAATTTATCGAGTTGTTTCTTGTAAATCTTTTCCGTTGTCAGAAATCTGTGTAAACGATTTCGAGAAGCTTAAATTGGATATTGCAAAATCAGGTGTTACTTCAATCGAAGATAACATTCCATTTGTGGTTGAGACTGATGCTTCAGAACATTCAAGCAAGGAGGCCAGTTGCATTTTTCTCGAGAACACTAAGTAAATGTGAACAAATTCATTCATAAGTTGAAAAACAAGCTTATTCCATAGTCGAAGTGATAAAAAAATGGAGACATTTTCTGATTGATCGTCAAATTCAGCTGATTACTGATCAAAAATCTGTATCTTTTATGTTTGATACCAAACACAGTAGGAAAATGAAAAATGAGAAGATGTTAAGATAGCTACTTGAACTATCATATTACAGCTATGATATAGTATATAGATCAGGACGAGAAAACGTAGTAGCTGATACATTTTCTCGAATATGTGGTTCAAATAGTCAGAAAACTTTATTCGATTTACATCAAGCTCTGTGTCATCCTGGATACACTAGAATGGTCCACTGGGTCAGATCTCGCAATATGCCCTACTCTGTAGAAGATATTCGTCTTATGTCAGCGTCTTGCCTAGTCTGTGCAGAACTCAAACCTAAATTTATTAAAAATCAAGGGACACTTATTAAAGCAACTTCGGCTTTCGAGAGAATATCTCTGGACTTCAAAGGCCCTCTTCCATCTGATTCAAGAAACAAATATTTACTCACTATCATCGACGAGTATTCTCGCTTTCCATTCGCCTATCCATGTTAAGATATGACTTCTGAGACGGTGATTCCGTTGCCTGAGCAACTTATTTTCCATTTTTGGAATGCCTAGCTGGATATTCACACAGATCATTTATGTCAAATTATTTTAAAAATTATCTTCATTCAAAAGGAATAAGCTACAAGCAGATCGACACCTTATAATCCAGAAAAATCAATGAACGGAATGGTACAGCAATACCTTCATGGCTAACTTCTGGAAAAATTTATATGAATAAGCATGTCCGACAATCAAAGTACGATCCTCTCGTTGAAGAAGTAGATCTCATTGAAGCTAACCCTCAATATGCGTTAGTTCGACTTTCGAATGGACGAGAAGCAACGGTTTCGCTAAAACATTCAGCTTCATGTGGTGATGAAAGTCTGCAATCGGAAAATAATGCTGATAACCATGTTATAAATATGCCTACTCAATCAGAAGAAAATGTAGATTTTTTTACAGGAACCTATTCCCATAGAACAAATTAATGAGAGACATAGAACAAGAAAATGTTAGTGAGACAATAAATCAGTCTCAATCTATTCACTGTGAGCCACAACTAGAAAACCAGATCCGTCGTGGATCAAGAACTAGACAATCTCCCAAATATCTTGATGATTATGTTGAAAAATAAACCTGGGGAGAATGTGGTACTTTTGATATCATCTGTATATAGTTTTTGTTACCAGTATTAACTATTATCATATTGTATTTATCATTGTCGTCATTATCATTAGATCATTACACCTGCTGCTAATGTTCAACTATCAATTAGCAGCAATTAGTAAACTTGAGCAATGTCACTGCTTTCATATGTAAATTATTGATTTGTTATTTATTTTTAGGGCAGATTCAGTTACATGGAACCCGCACAAACTCCTAACAGCACCACAACAATGTTCCACTTTCCTGGTAAGACACAAAAACCTCCTGGCTGACGCTCACAGTGCAAATGCCTCTTACCTTTTCCAAAAGGATAAATTCTACGATACCCAATACGATACAGGTATGCGCAAATAGTTAAAAATTATAAACCTTTGTGAATTTAAATCGTTTCCAGGTGACAAGCATATTCAATGCGGTCGCAAGGCCGATGTACTCAAGTTCTGGTTCATGTGGAAAGCCAAAGGCACCAAGGGTCTTGAATCTCACGTTGACAAAGTCTTCGAAACAGCTCGATATTTTTACGAAACCATTAAAACCCGTCCTGGTTTTGAAATTGTCGTGCCAGAACCTGAATGTACCAACATTTGTTTTTGGTACCTGCCAGAGAGTATAAGGACTAGCTCATCAGAAGAGTTTTGTCAAAAGTTGACCAGCGATAAAGAGTTTAGAGAAAAGTTGCATTTGGTTGCCCCAAAAATTAAAGAAAAAATGATGAAGGAGGGTACCATGATGGTTACTTATCAAACGCACAAAGACAAACCGAATTTTTTCAGAATAGTATTTCAAAACTCTGGTTTGGATAAAAATGACATGTTGCATTTGGTACAAGAGTTTGAACGATTAGGGCAAGATTTATAAATTCGATTTATAGGGTACTGGACAATGAAGAATTTGTTTGTATGTACATAGTGTAATATTTTTTAAATTATTTGTGTGTGTGTGTGTGTGTTTTTCTTTTTTTGAAGAAAAGTGATAGTTGTGATATACTTATGAAATCTTTAGCAATAAGGCTAGAATAGTGCCTAATAAAGAAAAAAACTGATTGCACGTAATATGGTTGTTTTATTCAAGTCTTCAAAAAACCTGTTTTTTCTCCAAACGTCAAAAAAACGTCACTTTGTTAGCACCTGTCAAGATGTTAGAAATTTAATTTCTATGCTGGTACGCAAATTCAGCGGGTTAACACCTGTCGAGGTGGTAGAAATTTAATTTCTATGCTGCTAGGCAACCGCAGCGGCAGTAGAAGTACTTTTAGTGCCGCTGGAGCGGCAGCAAAAGTACTTTTAGTGCCGCTCGTACTTTTACTGCCGCTTAACCATTCAGTTACCCCCGAGCTTACCCCATTCGTTTGGAGAAAAAATAGCGTGTTGCATACGGAGTAGAAGCACTTTTTTGTGCTTTAGCAGTATTGCAAGCCTCACTACGTTCGGCTCGCAAACCTACTGCTTCAGCACAAAAAAGTAAAGCTTCTACTATCCTAATACAACAATATACTATTTGATATCTAGGCACTAGCAGGAAATTTTAAACTTGTACTTACTTAATATTTATAGCATTTTCTATTTGGAACAATGACAAATTGAAACATGCAAATATGTGCAATAAAGTATATTTAAAAATAAACAGAACACCTAATAAAGAGCCATAACAATATCAAATATAAAATTCTATAGTTAAAATGGATAAATTTTCGTGTTGTTGGTATAATTTTACACCCTGTATAGAAAATACAAAGATAAAAATAATCATGTAAATCTTTATAGTTTAACACTTATCAAATAGATCGTCATTTATTATCTAACTAAATTGGGCTCCGCAATTAGAACACCTCTTCTCCGTTAAAGCCAAACAACAGAGAATACCCAAAGGGAAAAAGAAAATGGCACACATTACTCCTAGGCAAGTGAAGCCGTCTTCTAAAACACCTACACGGCAAGCTGGGCAAGCACCTAAAAAAAAAATATAATTAAAATACTCAATCAGAACCGCAAAACAAAATTTCCTACCAATAATAGTTGGATTTTCTACAATCACAGTGGTCGTTGTGGCTCCGTATCCTTGATTTGGAGGAGGTGGGCCATAATAAGTGGGATATGCTGGGGTTGGTCCTGGAGGATATCCTGGAGCTGGACCTGGTGGGTAGGTTACAGTTGGAGGTGGTCCATAATGAGTACCTAAGATGAGTAGCTTGTTATTTATTGTTATTGAGTCACCCTGTATCAAAGTCATAATTGTATCTCAAAAAATAAAGGGTAATTTTATCATAATTCAGGAATACTTATAATATCAAAGTTATACCAATGTAATATACAGGGTAATGCTGATATCTAATTTTCGATCATAAAGGTTTTATTGAAGATGCCTAGGGAAAACATAGTTAGGACAGGTTTTTCAAATTAAGCATACAGGGTGGTCCATTTAACTTGAGACAGCGCGTTTTCAAAAAAAATAAGTTCAAATAAAAAGCAGGCTTTTGACCCTGTCCAAGGACACTCCACCCAAGGGGTAAACCACCATCCTAGAATTGGCGCAAACAATTCCTTAAAGGGGAATTTTTTACGCATAATTCCTCAAAATTACTGCAAATTCCTCCAAATTCCTTCAGATAGCCCATCACAAATTCCTCCAAATAGCCCACCACGAACTTCACCAAATACCCCACAAATTCCTCTAAAAAAAGGGAAAATTTTGAAACTTTTTGCATGTAAAGAGGAAGGTGAGAAGATCATTTACCGAAAATTTCAAATTTTTCCAGCAGAAACCAGCAACATAAAAAATCTTGGAAATGAACCTACAAAAACTGAATAAGTTGAAAATACAGTCTCACACATTTCAAAGTTTTCCTGGAAAACTAATGAAGGGAAAATTTTGAAACTTTTTGCATGTAAAGAAGAAGGTGAGAAGCTCATTTTTCCCAAAATTTCAAATTTTTCCAGTAGAAAATTACATGAGGAATCTCGGAAATCAACCTACAATAACTGAATTAATTGAAAATACAGTCTTACACATTTAAAATTTTCCCTGGAAAACTAGTGAAGGGAAAATTTTGACACTTTTTGCATGTAAAGAGGAAACTGAGAAGCTCATTTTCCCAAAATTTTAAAATTTTCCAGTAGAAAATTACATGAGGAATATTGGCAATCAACCTACAATAACTGAATTAATTGAAAATACAGTATCACATATTTCGAAGTTTTCCTGGAAAACTAGTGAAGGAAAAATTTTGAAATTTTTTGCATGTGAAGAGGAAGGCGAGAAGCTCATTGTCCCAAAATTCCAAATTTTTGCAGTGGAAAACAGCAACATGAAAAATCTTGGAAATCAACCTACAAAAACTGAATTAGTCGAAAATACAGTCTCACACATTTCAAAGTTTTCCTGGAAAACTAGTGGAGGGAAAATTTTGAAATTTTTTACATGTGGAGAGGAAGGCGAGAAGCTCATTTTCCCAAAATTTTAAATTTTTACAGTAGAAAATTACAACATGAGGAATCTTAGAAATCAACCTACCTACAAAAACTGAATTAGTTGAAAATATAGTCTCACACATTTCAAAGTTTTCCTGGAAAACTAGTAAAGGGAAAATTTTGAAACTTTTTGCATGTGAAGAGGAAGATGAGAAGCTCTTTTTCCCAAAATTTAAAATTTTTCCAGTGAAAAACAGCAACATGAAAAATCTTGGAAATCAACCTACACAAACTGAATTAGTTGAAATAACAGTCTCACACATTTCAAAGTTTTCCTAGGAAACTAGTCAAGGGAAAATTTTGAAACTTTTTGCATGTAAAGAAGAAAGTGAGAAGCTCATTTTCCCAGAATTTCAAATTTTTCCAGTGGAAAATAACAACATGAGGAATATTGGAAATCAACCTAAAATAACTGAATTAATTGAAAATACAGTCTCATATATTTCTAAGTTTTCCTGGGAAACTAGAGAAGGAAAAATTTTACAACTTTTTGCATGTAAAGAGGAAGCTGAGAAGCTCATTTTCCCAAAATTTCAAATTTTTTCAGTGGAAAATAACAACATGAAAAAGCTTGAAAATCAGCCTACAAAAACTGGATTCCTTATTCTTTTGAATTTTTTAAATTTGGACCTGTAAATCATGTACTGTAATTTTGGGAGGATTTCTTTAGTAAAAATGAATATCCAACGTCCAACACAAAAGTATATATTTTTTAAATTTCCATTTATTACTATTTCTTATAATAAGAATGTGAACCTCAGTGATGCCATGACCCTACAATTTCCTCTAAATTCCTCACAAATTTATTAAAATTTCCCATAAATTCCTTCAAATTGCCTATAAATTCCCTAAATTCTCATAAATTCCGATGAGTTCCTTCAAATTCCCCACAAATTCCTCTAAATTTCCCACAAATTCCTCTAAATTCCCCACATTTTTGGCAAAGAATTCCTAGGTGGTTTGCCCCTTGACTCCACCAAATAGGATGGCTCATGGTCAGTTGAGTTAGAGCCCCTCCACTGAATTTTTATAAATGAATTATATCCCATAATTTTGCTCCCATTTTGCTCCATTCTGCTCCGCCAATTATAATTTTTGCACCACTACAGTGGAGAGACTATGTGGCCTATTAAGTGGCGGGGGGGCAAACCCAGTGAAAATTTTTGAAGTTTTTTATGCTGATTTTATTCTCCAAGTTTTGCTCCATGATCGGCGAGTTTTGCTGATTACCTGGAATGAGGTACAGACAGAGCCTCCAAAGAATCTCTCCCTGCCCCCCCCCCCCCCACCCCACAGTGCTCATTTCATTCTCTAAGTTTTACTCCATTACCTGGAATCAGCTACAGAGCTCCCAAAAATCGCTCCTAGCCCCCCCGCCCCCCCCACAGTGGAAGTTTTGAAATTTTTTTATGCTTATTTAATTCTCCAAGTTTTGCTCTATGATCAGCAAGTTTTGCTCCATTACCTGGAATGAGCTACAGATTTCCCAAAAATCTCTCCTAGCCCCCTTTCCCAGTGAAAATTTTCTTGGGAGCTCTGTAGCTCATTCCAGGTAATGGAGATCAAAACTCGCCGATCATGGAGCAAAATAAAGCAAACTTGAAAGCAAAAACTTGGAGAATAAAATGAGCATAAAAAAAAATCGAAATTTTCACTGGGTGGGGGGGGGGGGGGGGGGCTCGGAAAGATTCTTGGGAGCTCTGTACCTCATTCCAGGTAATGGAGCAAAACTCATCGATCATGGAACAAAGCTTGGAGAATTAAATGAGCATAAAAAAACTTCGAAATTTTCACTAGGGAGGGGGGGTAAGGGGTAGCGTTAATTTGCCCCCCCCCACGGTCACATTACAGTGCACATAGACTCTCCACTGTAGTGGAACAAAAATTATAATTGGTGGAGTAAAATGTAGCAAAATGGAGGCAAAATTACGGGATATGTTTCATTTAGAAAAATTCAGTGGAGGGCTAACTTTGACCCAATTGCTCAACCTAATAGGCGTACATTCGCGAGTTCTGGAGTCGGCAGCAGCTTTGCGGGTAACATCATCAATATCAGCACCTGAAAGTGGTGACGTCACTCGCAGACCTCATTGGATTGCTTGCACTTCATGCTGTGCTTGTCAGACAATTTTTTTGGTTGATTTTAACGTTTAGGATTTTTTTTTTTTGACCTATAGTGTTTTAAACTCTGATGTATTTTACGCCAAGAGTTGCGGTCTGCGGCTGATGTCACAAATAGTAGGGAGTTGTCGTGTTGACATGGCTGACACTTTCAGGCTCAATAAGCAATCCTATTTGGTAGTGTTTCTTGGACTTTGTCAACTTTTGAACTTTTTTTTTCAAAAACGTGCCTTTTTCAAGATACCTACGCTACTAGACTACACTGTCTCAAGTTAAATGGACCATCCTGTATAGTGTCTGGACAAAGTATAGTGTACCTACTTGTAGTAGCAATATTTCTTGTAGGTAGTTGTTGTGTAGGTATGTCACAAGTAAGTAAAAATAATCATATACTCCAACATTTACACAAACATTCAAAACAATAGGTAAGTTGGTAAGTAGGTGGTACTTACCTTCAGAATACGACATAATTGTATGATATAGAAACAAAGAAACTAAATAATGGGCAATAAAGTGGTTTGTATGTTAAATACGTGACCGCGAATATAAAATTGAAAAGCTTATCAGCAAAATACCATTAAAAAATCCATACTCACTCGGATATTGAGGGCTGTAAGGGGGCGGAGGCTCTTTGTAATTATTCATGATTGTTTATAGAAGACAAGGAGAGAATGTTAGATAATATTCTGCGTACAAAACTATTGTTATCAGTAAATTATAACTATTGTGATTTATGTGTGACTCACTGCACCAGACTCGAACACTACCAAAATAAAAACAAACTACAAATAATAGACAATGTGACATGTGACATTTGGCCATATGATTTTGAAATTTTATTTCAGTTATCAAAACCTGATTATATTTCTATCCTGCTTTAATGCAATAGGAAAAACAAGGAACAATAAGATGAACTCATTCCAAGTACAGGTAGTTTTGAAAGCACCTATAGGTTGTTATGCAACATAACCTAATTTTTTGGCCCCTTTTTTTGACAAAATTTTTAAAAATAAATGAAACTTTATAATCCAAGATTGAGACGTTTTCTGGACCGCTGGCCAGGCAAGAAAACTTTGGGAATCTACAGGTTTTTACCGGTGTTTTTCCTTCTAGGCGCCGCTTTGGAATTTTCCATGATCAATTGGAGGGTCGGAGAAGTGAATTTTTGTAAGTTCCACTAATTACAATCACAAGGAGTCAATATTTTATTTCTAGATCAAACATTCAAGAAACGGCAAGCTTTAAATATCCTAGAAAAACGGCAACAAGAGGGGCATCAGCACTAGGAATCTAACATGCCAGCGGGAGTCCCTTGGAGTCAATATTTAAAATTTACAGCTGCCGCTTTGCTTTCAATGTGCGCGGGGTCTCAAATGGTACATTTATATTACAGGCCTCTTGACGATTTAGAGACTTACATTGAGAAAGTGGAAAAGGGGCAGTGACCCTTTGTTTGTTAATGTAGAATAAATTAGATATATGTACCTCACAAAAACATCCTTTATTTAAATATCAAATTAAACTACAATTCTTATTATTAGGCATAAATAGATGCCTAGCCCTAGAAACAAAAATAAAATAATCATATTACATAAAAATTCAACTTAAGGGGTTTTCATGTCATTCAAAGTACAAGTGGCGCTAGGCCCCTCAACGTTAGCCCTTCTGCGCACTTTTGCAAAGTACTGGTGGGCCAAAGCTTCTTTCGCAGAGATCCGCTCCATGTGGTCAATTTTGAGACAAGATTCCAGCAAATCGAAAGCGGCGGTGTCCACCAAATGTTCGCTTTCAGTGTTGACGAATCTTTGCCAGGATTTTCTCGAGTGATGACCCAGCAATTGTAGGTATTGATCGTCCAAAGTGATGTTGTACTTTTTGAGGTATGCATTTAATTCATTGGAGCCTGTAACAATAATAATAATAAACATCTTTATTGCGCATATAGCATACATGAACAGGTACATGATATAAATGTATACGCATCACAAAGGATGCAGCTGGCAAAGTTTAGCCACACAGGTCCATTCTTCCACTTAACCAATTACATCACGAAAATCACAAAGGAAAGCAATCCTAATCCTAACTACAAAATAACAGAGCTATCAATACTAGATTTGTATCATTAAATTAACTAGTAATCAAGTACCAAGCAGGAATATCTTATAATTAGCTCGAAGCTTTTCGATGATACAGTTCTTGAGTCTTGGATCAAGCGCGTTGTATAATTTAACAAAATTATAAGAGCAAGATTTTTGAAACAATGAAGTCCTATGTCCTGGTAGAGTGAGTAGTTTTTGGTCTCTAAGCTCACAGTGTGAGCATTAGTTCTATATTGGAATTTGTCGTATAAATAAACCGGTTGCCGAGTATCCAGCAATTTTCTAATAAATACAATACTATACAATTTATACATATCATTACATCTCAACCAGCCAATTTGTCTATATTACTTGATACAGAGTCAAATTTTCTCAAGTTAAAAATGAATCTACAACATGTATTTTGGACATACTGTATTCTATTTTTAGTAACTACATCTAAAAATGCATAATACACATTATAACAATAGCTATACACAGACATCATAAGGGATTCACACAATTTTTTTCTGGTTTCAAAGTTGAAAATAAATCTATTTGAATACAGTAATTTCATTTTAACATAGCTTTTTTGTAACAGTGTTTGAACATGTTTGTTAAATTTCAAGTTAATATCTATATAATATAAGCCTAAGTTTCTATGTAGCGTAATTAGAGAAGTGTATTTCATGAGCGCCAATATGCACATTAAGGGAATTCAGGAGATTGTTTCGCTGTTTTTCTGAAGAGAACAGCAGAGCTTCAGTCTTTTCGCAATTAGTTTTCAGATTATGCTCATTAGAATACCGAAATATAGACTCCAAATCCTGGTTCAGTAGGCGTTCAGCCTGTTGGGGATTTGAAGGATCGAATTCTAATAACAACTGAGTATCGTCAATATAGGCTCGGATATGTGAATGCAATGGAATAGAAAACATATCTGATGTATATAACACATACAGAAGGGGGCCCAATATTGACCCTTGAGACACTCCTGGTTCAGGTTGTGAAAGGTTTTTCCCAATTCGAACCACCTGACTGCTGTTAGACAGATAAGATTTAAAAATGAAAGTGATAACTCATCAAACCCATAAAATGACAACTTAGCATATAAAAGTGCGTGATCAATTACATCAAATGCCTTTGAATAATCTAATAATATTACAGCTGCCGCTAATTTTCTGTCAAGGGCTGCCACAATAGTGTCAGTCACATTCAATAGTGCAGAGGTTGTGCTATGATTCTCTCTAAAACCAGACTGATGTGCCGGGATCAAACCATGACTATTCAAATACTCTGAAACCTGCAAATGAACAACCCTTTCCAATATTTTTGATATAACAGGAAGAAAACTTATCGGACAGAGCTCATTTATACTACTTGGATTTTTTCTTTTTAGGAATGGGACTAATCACTGATTTTTTCCAAAAATGAGGAAAGTAACCACTTTCGAGGCAGCAATTTATGATGTATGTAATATGGCTAGAAATAGTCGGCAAACACAACTTAACCATTACCAACGTTATATCATCGTGTCCAGAAGCGTTAGACTTGATAGTATTTATATATTTCCAAATGTCGTTTGGGTCTACTAATCTAAAAGAAAACTTATTGTTTATATCATAACTATTACTACTGTAGTAGCGCACCCTGTCATCACAATTGGCTGACTTTCAAAAAACACTGCAGAAGTATTTATTAATAACCTCGGCATCGTTAAACGACAAAGGGAGTTCATTACCATTGGCAGAACATACATTAAAGTCCCTTGAGGTTTTCCATATTTTCCTCTCATTTTTTTGATTTGTTACGTGCTGAATATAGCAGACTTCGTCAAATTTCTTAAAGTTTAATACGATTCCTGATTACCCGCAGTGTTTCTCAGTCTAGCCTTAAGTCTAGCGCTATCTCTCAGCCTCATTAGCTCTCGAATCACCTCAGTCAGCCATGGAACGGGAGGTATGCTTACTCTTACTGTTATATGGGGGGCATGCATACCAAATAACAGGTTAATATACTCAGTTAGCAGTAACACCTTATCCTCTATGTTACAAATATAAAACAAATCATCCCATGGGATATTCTTTAAATCAGATGAAAAGATTGTCTAATTAAAATTTTTAAAGTCCCTATATGTAACCAGTTTACTTATTTTTTTAGCTAACGGGGATTTCTATGTTACAGAAAGTTAACAAGTAATCGCTAATTTCACCAGCATCCATCGTTCTGGCACCGGTAAAAAAGTTTTTATTATTTACAAAAATTGGATCCAATAGAGTAGCACAATTTCCAGTGATTCTTGTAGGCTCATCTATCACCTGAGTACCTGAGAAAAACCATATACATCAAAAAATTCACTAATTGGATTTGAAACATTCATCATATTGATATTCATATCTCCACTACAATATAATTATCATGAGGTAAAATCTCAGGTAACAGGGCATCCAATAAACTCACACTTTCCATAACATTATTTCTTGTACGATATAATATAACCCCCAACGCCATTGTTATACCTTTGCCTAACCTTAACCTAATCCACATATGCTCGAATCCCAGTACCACTGGGATATTCATGAAATCTATAGATTGACGCTGTAAGTCAGATCACATAAATACCTATGCCACCTTGGATTTAGATGAGCAATATAAAAGATAGTAGTTTTTGTAGTATTATTCATAACCATGATCCAAAATATAATAATCAATTCTTCTACTAATCTCCTGAGTAATGTCTACTCTACAGGGGCATGTCCTATCCAAAGCTGAATGTCCTATGTCAAAATTACTATTTTTATTCTTTTTATTTTTCCTATCACAGTTATATACAACATTTGACTGTCGGTGTATTACACTACTCTGTCTATAGGAGTGATCTCCTCCACATTGTGAGCAATAGAGATGGCAAATTCTCGAGAATTTATTTTGAGAGAATTTTCTCGGAGAATATTCGGGAACATTGGAGAATTTTGGAGAATTTTAGAGAATTTCAAAGAATATAGCTTCTTAACATCATTTGTGGCTTTTCGCATTTTTTTGATACACAAAATCAGAAAATTTACATTGAAATTTGTTGTTCCTATTTTGTCTGAAATATTTTCATATCAACCCTCTAGGTTTAATTTTTGAAGGACTTTTCTCAAAACTAGTCAAAACTAATATTAAATTAAATATTTCTTTACACACACTCTGCGCAGTACGGGGACAATGTAATAACTTATGGCGTTTCCGGTTGGTAGAAATCGTGCAAAAAAATGTGTTTGTGTTTCTGTTTCTTTCAGAGGCTAAGAGAAAGAGCTGGAAATACACTCAGTATTCAGAGGCACAAAAATTTGATATGTCAGAATAGAAGGTTTTTCGGATATCAGACCTCGGAAAACGGATGACAGATGCATGAGACTCCAGCTCTGCTTTCCGTTTTTCACAATGAACTGATAAATTCAAAAATCACAGCTAACTTCCCATAAATTCTCGAAAATTACCATATAGGTAATTTAAGAAATTCTTGAACCTAAAAAAATCATAAGTTCTCGAGAATTAAAGGCTAAAAAATATTCTCAGTAAATTCTCTGTTCTCAATAGAAGTTCTTTGGAGAATATTCTCAGGGCCATCTCTAGTGAGCAAGTTACTACATCCGAATTACAATCTTTTGCATAGTGATTATAACCCATGCATTTGTAGCATTGTAGAATGCTAATATATGATTAAATACACGAGCTCATCTTGACCATCCACTCTTTATCTTTTCTTGAGTGAGAATGCGGCTATGAGTTTTTGAATCCATTTCGATAATCAGATCTAAGTTTTTATACTTGTTTTCTGTTTTCTTGACAATTTTCATGTGAAACCCTTCATCCTGAACAAGACTATTCCCCTTCACCAGCTGATATATTATGTTTTCGTCCTCATCGCCTACATCCACATCGGAGCTATTTATGTTGACAACCTTGACCTTAGGTCTTTTCTTAGTAGGGACCACAACTGATTCTTTAGAAAGTCCATGTGTTTAATGTTTTCGGGCCCTATGATAACGGTCCCATTTGATCCTTGGCGAAATTTTGAAATATTTATGCCATCAGGATTCACTTTCCTCCTAATTTCTTTTTTTATTATCCCTACTATTTTGATCCTTCTTCGGTTTCACAATTATAACAGGCTCGCTTTTGACTATTGACATTAGCATAGCAAACAGCCCTTTTCTCCATGCTACCTACAGTCAGTAATGGGAAATCTCTATTCTTTATATCCTCATACTTTTTTGTAGTATCAACTAAATCTTTTTTCAGCTTGCCACAGTCTTCTTTAAGCTGCAGATTTTGATCTTGCAACTGCTGCAATACCACTTTTAACAGATAATTTTCCATTTGATTTGGATTTAAATTGCTTGTTTCCTTAGAACTTTAAGCTATATTTTTCGAGCAACAGATTACTCGATAACAAGGCATTTTTTTTTCTTTGAGAACAGCTAAAGTGAAACAGAGAGCCACAACGTATGCACACCAGAACGCTTGGTGGTTTTTTCTTTACGCAACAACTTGGTTCGGGAGGCTCAGGATCACTGTCACTCTCGTTTTCTGGAGGCATGTTCCACTGATTTATTTACATAGACGAATTTTTAACGTCTTTGCTAAAATCCGGCTATGCAAGAACTCCCCAAAAATGTTATAAGGCACAACTTCAAAACGCACAGGTTTAGTTTTACTATAAACACCGTTTTTCACCACATACGAGTAGAGATGTGAGTGTGAAAAGTTTCACCTGAAAAGTTTCAATAAAATTTCATTTCATTGAAAAGTTTCAAGACAGTTCAAAACTTTTCAAAATTTCGTGAAAAGTTTAAAGATCATGAATCATGCATTGTGACTTTTTCCCAGGTTTGTTAAGACGAAAACGCATGTCATGGTCGTGGGCAAAAAAATAATTAACGAGTGACGAAAACAGCATTTTCTTGCAACGAGAAAACAGTTGTTTTCAAGTTGCAAAAAATGATTTTTGACAAGTAAAACTCTATACTTTTTCTAAGACCATGTTTTGATTTTTGCTGTTAAACTTATGTTTTTTTTACAAGGGTTCCTACTTGGTTTGATAGCTGGCGCCATCTATGAAAAGTGCTCGTTTTTAATTAATTTTATAGTTATATTTTGCTTTTATTACATTATATAAAGCAAAATTGTAATATACTATAAATGAAACACAGTCATTTGAGTGATGGTCTATTTATTACTGAAAATATTCAATTCTCCGTACCCAAAGGAATGGTACTCTAGTCACAAACAACCCATTGTTAATCTAACCATACACTAATAGTGAGCTAGCGCATACACGACTATTTAGAGACGTTATGCACATATATCACAAAAATTTACATAATTTTGTTATGAACTATGTTTTTTCATTGTGCTCCACAGAATTGAAATATAATTGGATTTGAAAAAATGTATTTAATATGTAAAATTTTAATCATTCACTTGCGTCACTAATGAGGAAAGTTAACGTTATGGGATATTTCATCACTAGTGACGAAAATGACCTTTTCGGCTAAGGTAAAATATGACAAAAGTTGTTTATTTTTTGATGGTCATAGAAAAACAGATTTTTTCACTATTACGCAATTTTTTTTATTTCCTCAATTCTCAACCGCAATATTGTGATTTAATGGAAAGGAATAATTGATAAAAATTATATTATTCATCAATTCAATTTATTGAATAGGTACCTATCATTTCGAAAAAAAAAATTTTAGAGGCCCTATTCTTCCTGTACTTAACTTTTCAAAAAAAAATTGAAAAGTTTCAACTTTTCATGAAAAGTCTCACGAAAAGTTTCAAATTTGAAAATTTCATGAAAACTTACATCTCTACATACGAGGATGTAATTCAATCCAATTAAAACTCAGGTTTGCACCCAGAAAAACGCAAAAACTCGCGGAGCAACAACGTGGCCATGCTTACACTTCATACATTTTTACTGATCCAATTAATAATGGAAATTCATTGATGGATGGGACACAGAAATGACCAGCAGATGAGATTTTGAAAAGGATTACAAAGCAATAGATGATTCTAGCTCAGAATAAACAGTTACTATTTTTTAAAATGAGAGTGAGACAAGAAGTCATCTCATTTAAATTTATTTAGGTAATACCAAAGGGAATCACAGTATTTCCTATAGACCAGGCAAACACTTTTGAGAACATAAGCATGGCACAGTTAGAATTCCATGGGAAATGAAGCTAGGATTGCAAGATCGTCGGAAGGGAACTCTAAGTACCTACCTATGCTTAGAGTGCTAAGGGCTCTTTTTTGTAAAATAAATATGGAATTGAAATTTGTATTACTACAACAGCCCCAAAATGCAATTCCATAAGTAGTATGCGACTCTACCAGAAAAAATTATGCGATCCTGAGAGCTTGCAGCTTTAACTACTCAGAGAATGATCTCAAAGCATAACAATGAGATGATAATCTACCAGAGAGTATGACAATATGCTGCTCAAACTTGAGACTCTCATCCACTGTAACTCCAAGAAACTTAGCACAGGCAGGGGTATGAATAAAATCACCACCTAAGGAGATATTGGATAATGAACACTTGAAGTTTAACATATTGGTTAAAGGATATATTGTTGTTGACGCACTAGGTTTTTATCAAATCTAAATCAACATTAATCATGCTTCCCAAGAATTCTCCACTGTTCGCATGCCAAACAATGGACGTGTCGTCAGCGAAAAGTCTAATACTACCTTCGACCCTAAGAGAGGCTTGATCATTATTATAGATCAAGAAGAAAAGGAAGCCAAGGATGGAGCCCTGAGGAATATGGCAGTTGTTGCTCATTTTATCCGAAAACTCGCCCCTATATTGAAACTCCCTGCTGACGTTCTCTTAAGTATTAATGAAACCAATTTAGGAGTCACACCTCCAAAACACAGCTCTAAAACCATACACGCCTGGCAAGTAGAGTAAGAATCAAACGAGAAGAAGCCATTGACGTCAGCGCTGACAAAGAAGGCAGATTTCCTTTTCTCTGGTTCCCTCCCATTTAAAGTGAGACAAACGATAACGCGTGTGGCTTCTTCTCGTTTGATTTTTACTCTAAACATCTTGCATGCCAATTATAATGCGATAGAATGAAATGTCTAGAGAAAGTCCAAAGTTGAATAGAGAACGAAAACGATTTCTCCTATTCCACCTCTAGCATTCCCAGCGCTTTTTGCTGAAGGTGGAACAGGGGAAATCGTTTTCGTTCACTATTTGACCTTAGACTTTTTCTAGACATTTCATTCTATCGCATTATAATTGGCATGCAAGATGTTTAGTTGCCAGGCGATACTCAAGCTTATGGAGCACAAAACACCAAGAGCTGATTCTCATTTGTATCCAAATAGAAGGGAGAATATCGCATCAGATGCTCCTTTGCCACACTGGAAGCTGAACTGATTATCGGAGAAGGACCTGGTTAGATTGAGGAATGAAAGAACTCTAATTTCGACCAGTTTCTCAATCAGCTTACCAAGTGAAGGATGAAGAGAAATAGAACGGAAACTTGCTGGAGAATTTGTGAAGAGGTACAACCACTATACATGCTTAAGGATATTAGGAATATCTCTGGGAATTTTCCAAATTTCGAGACGGCATTTTGATGAGCAAGAAAATGCGTAACTTTGCCCCAATTTGACCAAACATGAATCTCTCATGGTTATCGAGATTCGCATACTCACTCATGAATTTGTAACGCTCTATATAATATGTACCATGTTGAAAGCAATATACTGGGTGTCCCACGCCGTTTTTTCCAAATGATAACTTCGGAACGCATCATCGTATATTCCCCATAATTTTTTATTATTTTCTTTAACAAAGCCTCAACAAATATAGCATTATTGCCGATTTAGTAATTTAATTTTCTAATGTAAAACGCCATCATATACCATGAGTTAGGTACATTTAAGATTCGAAAGTTGACATCGCTTGACCGAAATTGAAGCGAAAGTGCTCAAATTGAATGACAATGGTAGAAGCGGCATAAAAAGTTACCCACATCCTCAAAATTTCAATTATATTGGATGACGCGTTCCGAAGTTATCACCTGGGAAAAACGACGTGGGACACCCTGTATGTAATAAGGAAATTTCAAGAGAAAATTATGGTGATGTTGCTCCTTACCCAAAACCTTGACAATCCTAACCAGCTGGTCCTGGTTATTACTTCCGTGGAAAAACGGTTCTCTTCGGAACAGCATCGAAGCGAAAACGCAACCGAATCCCCACATATCCAACGAGTAATCGTAATAGTTGTAATCCACCAATAGTTCGGGCCCTTTGAAATATCTGGACGCCACTCTTACATTGTACTCTTGACCTGGATGGTAGAATTCGGCCAGGCCCCAATCGATCAGTCTAATTTGGCGGTTTTCTCTGTCAATTATTAGATTGTGAGGTTTCACGTCTCTAAACGCAAACATATTGTCATTATTGTTAATTTAACAAATTATCTCATTTACCTATGCATTATGCCATTGGAATGACAGTAATCCAAAGCCCTTAAAAGTTGATACAAATAATACTGAGTGTCCTCTTCGGACAGTTTCAAGTAAACAGTTTTGAAATCTTCATTGTTCACCATTTCTTCAAATATGAGCGCAGTGAGATCTTTGGGAATTTGGACAACTGCCAAGAGTTTCACTATATTCGGTCCACCTAAAAAAAGTTGTTTCATTGCTTGGTACAACAAATAAGTGAAAACTTACCTTTGAGGCCCTCCAAAATTTTAATTTCCCGTTTGATTTTCTTTCTTTTTACTGGCTTTAGCATTTTTATTACCACCTTTTCATCTCTTACGTGATGGACTGCTTCGAAAACTATAAGAGAAAATAATCCTATAGAAGAGTGAATAAAAAAATTTTGAATGCGTACCAATGCTGTATTTTCCACTGCCAAGCTTTTTGAAGAGGCTATAATCATCTATTTCGTCGTAGAAGAGACTAAATGATTCATATTCGTAAAAACTGCTGGGTTTAGTAGCTAATACATTTGCGTATACTTTCGATATTGTCTTGATGTGGTTTGATCTATTATCACTGGAATAAATAGAAAAGTGTTATTTATCAGATTTTTCAAAAACGAAAACAACAATCATGTGCATTTTAACTTTGTTGACATAAAAAAAAAATACCTTAAATCTTGTGGCACATCATTTTTTTGACTTGCCTGGGTACTATTATAATGCGGCACCTCAGGCTCGTATTCGTATTCCATATTGGTCTCGTGGTACATGTAGGAACCCATCATAATACACTACTATTTACTACCAGCTCATGATTTTACCTTGAGTCACAAATACCTACTATACATCATTATTATTTTTACGTAAAACCGAGATTCTAGTTTGGTTTGCATACAGCGCAATTAGACTATGACACAGAAGCGTTATCTATGATCTTATCAAATCACATTTTTTGAACAAAAAAATTATAATGATTCACAGGTGAGCAATTATGACGCCGATGGTTGTTGATAACCTGTTCTTATATAATGGCAATTTCAACCAAATGAATATATTCAGGGTACCCCTCTAGAACATTATTGAAACAAGTCTAGGGAACGTTTGAGAAAATGTCGGTTGTCAGTTCGGTATACTCTGTACCCCTCTAGTACCTTATTGAAAATATTGATCTATTAATGGAAAAACGAAAAACTATTAGTAGGTAAAAGGTATATGAATCTGTGGTAGATGTATGTAGATACAGAAAACTAGTCAATAAAAAATCACTAAGCTCAGGACCGCAAATCTAAATATAAATACATACTAATTTATGATTGGAAAAAAGTAAAACTAATGTTCATTATATTTTATTGCATGTTCCACTACACTATAGATAGATTCATCAGAAAATATAAGTAGGTACCTAGTCAGAATTAGCTTCACAGTTGCTGATTTGCTGATTAATAACATGGGATAAGTAGACGTACTTCAATGTAATTGCATAGACTGCATCTAAAGTCGTTTTGGACTGATACAGCTGCTAGGTACCTTTCCAGATAGATACTTCTTGTATGTCTCTGTTTCTAATTGGTGTCCAAGATTTTCAAACTTCTCTCAAAAACAGGCCAGGGGGTTGGGTTATGCTGCTCACTTCTTCGCTGTCTTTTTGTTGCTGCAAAAGTCATTCGCTCCGTATGTCTATTGTTTGAAGGACGACGACTGTTCTAATGTTTCTTCCGTTCATGCTGGGAAGTTGTTCGAATCTTCTTACACATGAGATGTAAATGAACCTTTTTCCTGTCTCAGACCACCAGTAGACTTCCAATGAATTTGTTTTTTTTTTGACCCAGCTGATCAGTTTTTCCACTAGGTGGCATTTTATCAGTCCACAGAATGGCTCTAAACCTTGGAAATTGTTGCAACCTCTGCTTTGCAACAAAACCTGTTTCATTGTTACCATATGTACCTTGATGCCCTGGTATCTTCTTCGTTTCTCGCAGCCAGTTGCTCGAGGGTCTTTTCGCCTTCCCAAACCAGGTGCAATGTCCACTTGATAACTCCTTGAAATTTCAGTTTTGTGACGTCTTTTTGACAGGACCTCTTGGGTATCTATAGCAAGCAGTTCCACTTGAAATAGTGTGGGCAGTTTTCTGTTTTCCACTGACTAGCGGTTCTTCAAAGTCCATTGTTGCTAGTATTTGATCTGCTGGTTCACTTTGGCACTCCAGCTTTATGGGTAGTCTATACAAAGATACGATGACTATTCAGATCTCCAGGTTCAAGTTAGTAGGTCATGTTGTGTCCTTACAGCATTCCTCGACATCGAAGGGGGCCTTTGACCAAATCTCATTTGAATCTATGAACAATGCTTTGTCCAGACCCGAGGTCACACACAACATTAGCAGATGGATCGATAACATGCTCCGAGGCAGACAAGTTCAGGGTATTCTTAATGATGATACAATGGAGATGTCAGTATAAAAAGGCAGCCCACAGAGTGGGGTCCTATCCCCCTTATTGTGGGACCTGGTTGTACACGAACTTCTAGTAGAACTTAATAACAGAAACATTTCTACCCAGGGTGACTCAGATGATGTAGTACCCGTAGTCATGGGAAAAAATGTACAAACTACTTCTGCGCAAATGCGAAGAGAGAGCACTAAAAATCGTGGAGAACTGGGTCGAAATGGCAAACCTGAGTGTCAACCTTGAAAAAAAGGCAATGTTCCCTTTCACGAAAAGAAGAAAACTAGAGGATCTCCCACCTTTTTCGGAAAGCAAATACAATTCATCTCATCGGGAAGGTCGAATACCTACCTAGGGATTATCCTGGATGCAAAACTAACCTGGCACGAGCATATCGAATACGCCACTGACAAAGGTAAAATGGCGCTAATGGCCACGAAAAGAGCAGAGGGAAAGACATGGGGGTTCCTACTCCACATAGTATAGTGGATCTATACACAGTAGTGGTAAGACCCAGAATAACCTACGGATTAATAGTTTGGTGGCCAAAAGTTGAACAGAGCAAAGCAACAATTGAGCCATCCAAACTTCATAGAAAGGCTTATCTCTGCACAATCGGTACAATCAGATGGTGAAGCACTCCAACTACTGCTAGGAAAACCATATTAAACCTCCCTCCACTTGATATCATTATCAAAGCTGAGAGAAGAATGGGGGGCTAGAGACTCAATTATGACCAAAACTGGAATCCCAGACGAACATACGGACATACATCAGGATAACAAACAATCTGGCCTACGATGTATCCTCTCCTGTTATTTTAACAGTTGTGTTATAGCTCGCAATCTATACCAGTCTCTATTTTTACGTGTAGAATAAACTAAACAGTGACAGATAACTTAACGTTTCTGTTATTTTAACAGCAACGGTAAGTTATCTGTCACTGTTTGTTCTACACGTTAAAATATAGAGACAGGTTTAGATTTTAAGCTAGGTATAACACAACTGGTTCAAATAACAGAAGGGGATACATCATAGGCCTGATTATTACATACTCAGTGTTTGAGATGAGAAGTGAGAACATGACCCCGAGAACAAACATCCACACACAAACCGTTTCAAATCCAGATTAACTGGGAAAACAAAACATAAAACTCGCTAGTCCAGAATGGAAAGTGAAACTGTAATGGTAATACACTGATGGCTCCAAAACCGACAGTGGAACCGGTGACATAGTATATGGCTTATCGAATGTAAGAGGTTTCGGGATTACCGGATAATACTTCTACCTGTCACGAAATGCGTTACGCAGCAACACCACGACTCCGAAGGAGGAGTGGTGTTGCTGGTAACGCGTTGAGTGTCAGGTAAAAGTATTAGGTACCTAATCCTAAAACATAAAGTGGTATTCAAAAGGTTATACAACGAACTAAATTTTAATACCTTATTAATTTTTAATTTTTTTCTATAATAGAATTTGCTATAAATATTGCCACCAAGCGCGATAATCCCAAACGGCTTATCAGTTGTTAAGCCTCTCGTGTCATATGAGAATAATGTACAGTGAGTTGTATAATCTCCAAGAGTCAAGAGCAAAATGGCTTTCTCCACTGGGGAAGCATACCACCGTATTCCAAGTCGAAATACATCCAATAGAGATATGCCTGTGGTAATATCTGAGAAGCGGGTATATAGTTACACAAGGATATCAGAAATAGGCAATGGGTCCTGAACCAATGAAGTGGTAAGAAGGTTGGAATAGGCTTTGCGTCACTCAAATGATTCCAGAATGAGATAGCGCAGGGCAGAAAATCTCACGGATCTCTCCCGTTCTCTCACTCTAATGTTGGCTGCAAAACGTATTGAGTAGATAGGCAAGGGGCCATTCCAAACCTTACTACTTTATTGCCCTGAACCCGTATTCGTAATATCAAAAAGTCGATATATGTACCTGCTTAGAAAAGTGGATCCGAGAGGAACACAAAGACCACTGGGTCCTTATTCTTGAAACAGGGTCGCAGCGTTCCCAGGAGAAAAAGTGTCTTTCTCAATGATATGCAACTGATAATATAAGTAACAAAGACGGAACACTCGTTCTCCTGGGAACGCTGCTCCCCTGTTTCAAGAATAAGGACCCAGATGTCCAACACTGAGGCAACACCAGAGTAAGGCAATGATGAAATATCCTCCTACAAGATCAGCCTCTGAGATCCTAAAGTTCACGAGGAATCAGATCACAATTGTAACAGGACTCTTAACCGGCCACTGAACCCTGAGGAAACACCTTCACACAAAATAGGTTTCTACAAAGATGAACCCATCTGGGCTTTTATTCTCGAAACAGAGGAGCAGTGTTCTCATGAGAACAGAGGTTCTGTCTTAGTCATTCACATTTATATTTCCATAACACTGACAAAGACAGAGCAATCGTTCTCGTGAGAACGCTGTTCCCCGGTTTCGAGAATAGACATCTTGTAGACTGTGGGACGAGAACGAAGAATCAACTTCTCACATCTTATTCGAATACCCAGCACTTGCTTACTGGGAGAACTCGACTCCTCCTCCAGGAGGGCGAAGGTGTCAAACTTATTTTAGCAGAAACTTACACGCTTGCACAGCAAGGGATACAATAAGCTAACTAGCTGCAGTGTCAGGGAATCACTAAACATTGCCTTGCTGCTGTATATCAAATTAGTCGATCAATCAGGTCGTGTTTTTGCCCTTTTGTTTTCATAAAAGTTGAAGATGAAGCATGTTCAGTCTAAGATAAATTATTGACAAAACCTCTGTTATTCCTAGACAGAACAGCCGTTAGTTAATTTATTCTGAGTTTTTGGCTGCCAATCTGAGGCGTACCTAAGTGATCACAGTTTAGTACATCCGATAATATATCTCATTTTTGGTAATTATTTTGTTCATTCAGAAGTATGTTATCTACGCCGACTTCTAAATACTTTACCCCATCAGGAATATATAGGTTCCGTTTAGAGTAGGTGCTCTGACTCTGAAACCTATCTTCCTTCGAAACTAAGCTTTTCTTGGGATTTATGGATAGTTTTTTCTCGCTCCAGTTTTTATTTATATATGTTCCAGGCACTCTGCATTCGAGATATTTATTTGCATTGGTCTAACCGATGATGATGTTGATATACGACTATGATGATGATTTCACTATTGATCATTACATTTATAACTCACCCCAGGAAAATATTTACCCTATATCTGATGATTGCCGATTGTTATGAAACGCAGGAAGAGCAGTTTGTCTCAATTTATACAAAAACATTTTTTCTCTGACCAAAAACATTATTAATTGTTTTAAAATTTAAACTCACATTTTATCAAAAAATTGCTTATTTAACAGGCTTAAGTTATCTTATTCAAATTATTGATAGCGCATCCAAACTAAGACCTTTGTAAATTGTAGGATTAGGAGGTTGATATAGATAATAGTTTATTTTTACTATGGCTGAGTTTTTTTGTATAATAGGTACATGATATAACGGCTGTATTCACCTATCTGCAGCTAACTTCATTCTTGTATTGTTATGTGCTCTCATATTTTATATGAACAACAATCAATGCAAAAAATCACTACTTACGAATTTTCGTCCTCGTAATTCTCCAAAGCCATTTCCCTGTACATCATGAGCGATTTTTTTCTCTTGCGAACAATTTTCCTATGATTCAAAACGAATTTTGACGACGAGAATTTTCCGGATGACAACTGTCCTACCGTCATTTTGAAATTTGTTCAACTTGTCACATATGTCAGTGAAATGTTTCCGTTTAAACTGAATTTGTTGATTTTCAATAGGATTTGAGTGTGCAAATTTTCTTGGATAAATTTGATGAAGTCACAAGACTTTTAGGGACACCAATGAGCAAAGAAATACAAATTGATTATTATTTGGGAAATTTGTTAGCCGGGTGACACAAATCAATCAAATCCAGACCACGTGATTCAATATGGCCGTCCAGAGGTCAAATATTGTGGTAACGTTCATAAGAGAAAAGCATTCAAAGTATTTGTGTTCCGTTCCGATGGTTCCGCCCAAAGAATCGTAAAATCTACAGGATTGCTCAATCGGATTAATCTGTCTGTACTGTGACGTCACCTGCATTCCTCCATGGACCATGTCTGATATTTTAGTGAACGTATGTCTTATGGGATTGAGCAATCCTATAGAGTTTACGATTCTTGGTTCCGACCAATGACATCTTAACACAGATAAACACCACATCTCATTCATAAACTGAGAGATGAGCTGCTCGAGGGGGACATGGTAGGGATGCATGAGTGCAGTGGTGTAAACAAGACCCGTATTCCCCTCTGAATCCCGTCATCCACTTGACCAAAATAATGGAGAAATGCGCACGGGTGCAAATCGTTTATCCATCTGTCTGCCTCTAACTCATGTGATATAAGTTAATATGTCATTGGTTCCATAGATTTGTTCCGACTCTTGTTTTAGATGCCAAACATTACAATGCCAATGTCAAACCTAAACGTCCAGAATGTGACAAAATAAGTAGGTAATTTTTCATTGAATGTATCTTCCTTTTTTTGTAAAATTAGGAACTACTTTGTCCCTATCACTTCGCTCATTAGATAAATAAAAAACGAAGATTTCTTCGTGGATTTATCAATCGGATAATCAATTTTCCACAATGCTGCTTTGCGTACGCAAATGAGAGCGGAAAATAGTATATATTTCCTAACTAGTGCGAAAAGTGAAACTTGCCGTTCGATTGCAGCAATCAAGTGCGGAAAAGAGACTTTCCGCACGAGTAAGGAACACTATTTTTTCTACGAGATGGAAGTTAATATTTGTTCCTATATATTTACCAATTTGAGATAAAAAAAAATGTACACCTTTTCGGCACTAGTGCGGAAAAGTGGTACTTTCATGACCTTAAATGCGGAAAAGTGCACTTTTCTGCACGCTCGTAGAAAATAGTATATTTCATCACCACCAAATTTTTTCAAAACTGGGGTTATACCAGGGTAGTGGGGGCAGCCCCCCCCTAGACGCTAGAGTTTGGCATAAAATATGAAATCGCACACCTGAAATAGGAAAAATATCACATACAGGGTGATTCAAATTCAATGTTCTCCATTGGGATCTCAGAAACGGTCATAGATACGAGGCCGACCTAAATGTTGTTTTCGTTTAACTGTCTTCGTATCTCTCACCGTTTCCGATACTCCAATGGACTAAGGAGTGCATCGAATTTGAATCACCCTGTATAGTATTAAAAAATTAAAAATTTTGCTACTTATAGGAAGATAATGTGGTTATTAATAACTAATGAACAAGGAAAAAAAAATTAGTTTGCTCTTTTCATTAATCTGCCCCCCCCCCCCTAATTCAGATCCTGGATACGCCCTTGATACAGGGTGTCCTGTCAAACTTGAAAAAAGTCAATTTTCAACTGTCAATATTTCCAAAACAGTTGAAGATAAGTACTTACAGGCACAGGGTATATCACAATGAGAATATCAAATGAAATCCGCTCAGAATTTCACGTAGAATCCAAATATGCAATCACATACGAGGTTTTTCGTTTAAAATAAGTAAGCTGACGTCTACTTCCGGTATAACCGGAAGTGCCACCATGTTGAAGATATTTTAGCCGGGTGCCTCCGTTGACATTAGTATACTGACAAATTTTCAAAAATTATCTACATAGAGTTTTCTATATATACATCGATTTGGGTCCCGATGGGACACCCTGTATGTATAAATAACTTCGTCCTGAACGTAACTGATGGACAAGGATAATACACACTACACACTACTACTACAAGATGGCTTATCCTCATAAGGCCTGTGTGTAACAATTCCCCCCATCCACGCCAAAATACCAGTTCTGACGTAGGCAGCATGTTATTTCTCGCCTTGACGTAGACTGTTTAAACAGCTGATGACGTCGGAAATGGTATCACACCAATATGGCGGCGATTACCAAAAACGAGGCCGATAAGCACTCCATAGAGTGTGTATTCTCTTTGACTGATGGAAGCTTTTCAGGTTTTGAAACCAGGAAACCGAAAAAAATTAATGCAAAACACAAATTATAATGCTTTTAAAATACTGTTATATTGAATCTTTTTTATTGGCCCATATTGGTTTACTTATTTTTGATCATCAAAATGGCAATCTCTGGATGGAGGCGGCAAAGGGAGTGAAACTGCAGGCACTGGAGCATTTTCCCAGTATCCTAAAAAAGACAGACTGTTAAAATTTACAGCAAAATCAATCGAAAGTTGCTATCCTCGGCCGAACAATTATTACAACTTGCCCTTGATCCAAATCCCATGAGCACAGATGTGTGTAAAGACTTTCAAATTTTCTTAATAATTCTTACCTGGAAAACGATTTCCACTCGACATATTGCACTGCATACTCAATGGAGCCTCATGGTACACTTCATCCAACAGTTGCACTCTCATTTTATTCCACTGAATCGAATAGTAATTTTCGGATACTCCTTTTGACTCTGACGTCGGCTGATCTTCCCATCTAACAAACAAAATATAAAGTTTAAACATCGCGAAATTGTTCAAACTTACTCCTTCATGTAATTGAAGAAAGTTTTCAACGCTTGTTCAGAAATGGAGCTTTTGCACACCTCCAAAGGCGCGCGAGGATAATAGTGGATGTAGTTCACGCACATTTCATCGCTTATCGAGAATCCTCCGAAAGTCATATTTTTGCGGTTCATAGTGCTGTAGTCGCATCTTGTTATTAAAACGTGCCCCTGAAAATGCTCCAACATAATTGTGACTTTTTCTAAAAAAAAACATACGTACTGGTAGAACCTTTACAGGTTTTTTCAGACGACGGATCTCTTGAAAATGAGTGCTATAGTGATTATCTCGGTTCAATTCAGGCAGTTCCCTACCGAGGGCATCAAAATGACGTGTATATACTTTCACTCCTATGAGATGAGTATGCAATTGGGAACCAAAAATTGTAATGCCTTCTTGAGGAAACCCCTGGAATTGTTTTTTTCAAAAATTATCCAGAAATCTACAAATATACTTACAACCGATGTGCAAGAACTAATACAATATCCTGTAAGAGGAAACGATTCCTGTCCTGGCGGTATTGCCATTTTATCGGTGTACTCTAGCCCTAATTCGATTACCCCAGCATCCATTTGCCTAAGCTTATCGGATATATGAAATCTAACACCCGAACTATCAATAATACCAGATTTTAATTCTGGATTATTGTAGTGGATTTCTAACATTACGTATTGGTTGAAGGTTTCACCTCCTAGTGGAAGAGCAGCTTCCTGGAAAGAATTATTCACTTTTTAGAATGTTGGAGAAAATATATTTACCTCTGGATAAGTAAAAGGTTGAGCTCCCATAGCCCAAGCGGCCAAAACCCTTTTGCAAACTTCCGTTTTCTTTGGCCGCTTGTTATCAAAACAATCCCCATTGTAAAGAGGAATTTCCTCTTTGGCATTTGATTCACAATGGAATAATTCCATGTGGTGCACCAAGCCTTGGCTAGACGCTTGAATATTGGCTTCGTACTGATATATGTGATGCTTCTTCTTAAACTTGTCGGGCAATTTGAAAACTCTGCACCAGTAAGTGGTTTCTTCAGCTGGTACTTTGACTTTATCGGCTAGAAGTTCCAAGGTTTGAACGTGGGAAGGTAGATTTGTATTTGCGTGAAGGTTTTTGAGTAGGGACGCTCGAATCATTCCGGAATTTTGTCTATCTGAAGTGCTGATGTTTAGGCCTTTCGGAGAGACGATTCTTTGTAGGCCTCTGGACCATACTATGTGAGTTGTACCATCCTGGAACAAGAACATTGGAGAGTGGACAAGTTACTTTGTACACTTTCAGAGTTATGAGAAGTGACTGAGAATTTTTATACAAAGAGTAGTTACTTTTTTGAATGTATGAATGAATTAGGGGTTTTGTTACACTCTGCGACCTGCATAGATCTATTGTGTTCATCTTCTGGGTGCTACAGTTGAGAGGATTCTCACTCAAAGAACCTCATCCAGCTTTAAAGCTTTTATGAAAGCAAGTAGGCTGGATGGTTCTAAAGATAAAATTTCTTCCCGTTCAACGGTGCAGCATCCGAAGCAGGCCATTTGTATGATCACGATCGCCTCGCACTCTGTGAGAAGGTGTTCTAGAGTTTTCTCTCGTCGTTTTCCGTTTTCGATTTTATTTTTAATTCTAAGGTGTTCTCTGAATCGGCAGTAGCTTTTAAGGAATCCAGTGCGAGAATGCGAAGATCGTTTTCACTCTGTGATATAAAGATTTTGAACTGCCTGAAACATCTTTGATTACGTTAACTCTGTTTTTCCCAGGGGTTGATCGATTTGGTTCGCTATGCCAGACAAAAGACGCAGATCAGGGGTTTACCCGCCAGGCAGCACACAAAATCTTAATGACGTCTTTTTCAGGTGTGCATTACGTCTGAAGACAAAAAAAAAACGTCTAGAAGACGTTTTTTTGAAGATGTCCTCAAGATGTCATAAATTCACATCTTAAAGACAACTATTTGGTACAACCAGGCCTAAAAGTGAATATTGGTTTATGTATTGAAGAGAGATTCAAAGACGTCTTCAAGACATCTCGTTAAAGACATCTTTAGAATGTCTTAGTCCTGAAGACGTTTTTGGCAGACGTCTGAAAGACATCGGTCTTTGTAACATACGACGTCTTCAAGATGTCTTTGAGACGCCTTAAAGACGTGTCTTGCATGTCGTTGTGGACATCTCAATGACGTCTCTGAGATATCTACATAAATTTCCCAGAGAATTCGTTTCTCATTCAATTTAGAAGTTACTGGAAACCATTTAGAATGCTCGAAAATACTTTAGAACTTAAGTGAGCCTTTTAGAAAGTTCGAAACACTTAAAATCCAATTCAGAGTTTTCAAAAGCATTCTGTAGCGCTTCAAAACAATTTTTAAGCTTCAAAACCACTTTAAGAATGCCCCCAAAATATTCAAAAACCTATCTACAATCTCCAAAAGCATTTTGGAACTATTCAGAAGTTTGAAACCCATTTTAGAACGCTCCAAAACACTCAAATACTCTAGAGAACCTCTATAAACATTTTGAAAAGCGCCAGAATCTTAGGATTCAGGTTATAAAATGCCTTTCAGAAAGCTTTCAAGAGCGAATTTAGATTATTGTAGGACTTTAGACCTTTAATAAGTATCAGCTCAAATCCAAGTCAGCATTTTCAGGAGCATTTTGGAACAATTGAGAAACTTCAGAGTTATTTTAGGACAATTAGAATGAGGATTCAATTGAAAACACTGGAAACCTTCTAAAACTCTTTTAAACCAATTTAGAACACTTTGAAGCTCCAATAGGACTCTAAAATACTTAAAAATCTGTTCCAGAACCCTTCAAGCAAAGTTAGAACACTTTAGAACTCCAATAATACTTCAAATGAACAATTTGAAAACCTTAGAACTATTTCAGAGAGCCTAGCGCCTGGAATAGACGGAAATTGAAAATTATGTCGTTTGTGGACATCTTGTGCACGATTTTAAGATGCCTCAGTGCTGTCTGGGTATTTTGGCCTAAAACATGTGTGGATGTTTTCCCAATTACACCGGCTCTGGTCCCTGGTTCAGACCCATCAGACCATTTTATGGCATTCTGCTGCATGTGTATGTGGTGTTCCATCATTTCCATTCTTCTCTGCTTCCTATCACTACTCTGAAGAGTACTTTATACTTTGGTGGAATTCGTATTGGACAGTTGATACCTACACCTACTCGAAAAATTACTTGTACCTACCTCTAGACTTTATTCAATTTTGAAACTGAAACTATTTCGGAAGAAATTACTTTGCTGGACAAATTACCTAAAGCCTTTCATATTTCAGACTGTATTCATTTTGGGTAGCTGAAACATTAATTTCAATGCTACATTGGAATCAAAATCTCTTGAACCTATGATAAAATCCAAGTAGTTCATATTAGCCTTATAATTTTATTTGTCCTATATTTTGCAACTACTAAAAAAAAGTTACCTCTATTATATAGTCTCGATTGTCACAAGTATCAAATTTTCTTTTAAAAGTATACTTGGTAATTCCAGATGATGTTGTCTTGTAACGGAAATTGCTACAGTCCTGATGGTGATCCAAGTCCACTACGCCTTCATCGTTAGTCCAAGTATCCTAAAAACAAATTATCAAAAAAATCAAAACTTGAAGACTTTTTTTACAATCAAATGCAATTTTCCATCCAAATTCCTCCATAGCAAGCAATAATCTGCTGGAAAAGCTTCTCCGTAGTTTGAAAACCCAAAAGCAAACCAACCAAACTCTGAGGGTAAATGAATTTCGAATGCCAATTTCGTTTTAGGGTAATCTATTAGCCAATGTAAGGAAATCGAACTATCCCCGTTGAGGGAAACGTTAAAAATCTTGTAATCATCTAAAACAAATTTAGTTTAGGCTAATGAAGAACTTTTTCTCAAACTCCTACCTTTATTGGCAGCCACCAAACTAAAGCAAAAACATAAAACCGCACACCAACTTTTGCTTATTCTTAACATTTTATTTTTTCACATTTTATTTTCAAAAAAAAGTTTCGGGCACAACCGAAAGACACGACATTCAGCGGAAGATTAAAAGACTTTATCTGACTAGAGGAGAAACTTAATTAAGTGCGCATGATAGAGGAAACGTTTGAGGATGGCGGGCTGGAATAATCATACAAAGTTTAATCTAAATTCTTATTTATTTTTAGCATAATTACATACTATTATTTTCCATAATAACTGGATCCATATTTAGGTGAATACTCATAATTATTACCTCCATATGATGGACTTGGATGGGTTTGATACAATGAAGATGTCGAAATTGACTTGGTGATTGGTTGGACGTACTCACTGACATAAGGTTTTTGATAGTCATAATCATAGACGTCATCATAAACTCCTTCGTAGTCATATTGGGTGTAGTAAGGGTTGTAGTAGCTATTTGAAGTTGCTGCATAACCTGGACCGCTGTAGTAATGAGATTTGCCCGCGGAACTTCCATGGAAAGTAGCTACGATTATGACTAGGATGAATGAGGATGCAAGTTTAAAAGACATGATGGAATGATATTGAATATCTTGGTAACAATTAATGGTATTTATACGTCTGAAATCCCTTCTATGTAAAAATTAAACAATTTTTTTTTGCTTGTTTCGGTTAAAGGAACAAACTAATTATGTGTCCTAGTAAATATAATAAAGCTCTCCAAAAAACTGTATAATCAAAAGAAACAAAACGAGCATTGTGTGTCAATGTTATGAACTTGAAGGAAGGTTAAATAGAGTTTTTCGTATAGAAAATAGGTGTTAACGATAGAAGAACATTGATGTGGCCTTTATTTGAACAATGAGTGTAGGTACCTACTAAGAATGTGGATATTGAACCTACTTACATTTTGGATACATTTTCAGGGTTAGCAAATAATTTTCTCTACTTGGATTTTTGTATGGATTTGTGATGAGTATTTTCTCGAATATTTATTAATAAATTAACACAAAAATTTATAGGAAAATCCTATGCAAATATTTAAAAGAGTCTAATATGAACCTGAAAGCTTTAACCCTTTCTATACGATTGCCGTATACAGGGAAAACAGTCCACCCCGATTTATTGGATTTGACATGAAAATCTAGAAAAACGCGATTGTTGATTTGAGGGGGAACTATTTTTCAGTTTTTTTTCATCCCCGTAGCTTCAGCCCCCTCTGGGGTAGAACCAACCCTTCAAATTTAAATAGGAGATAGGGGTCGTGTCATACCTCATTTTAAAGGTTTCATCAAGTTCTCCATGGTCCTAGATTTTCGTCTTATTATTTTCATCTGTAACGAAATGACAGCTTGTCAAAATCTTGGAAATAGACTATTTTTTAGTATATCATGCTATTTGGATTTTTAAAGAAAATTAGAAAAAAACTGGATCTTGGTTAAACAGCGCCCTCTAGAAGACGGGGTGGGAACTATCGACCCTGAATGAAGTAGTCTTATTAATAATAATGAAAGTCTCTTTCAAATTAACCCAAATTGAATGAGTTTTGATAAGGGATATGGAAGATACAGCAATTTTTAGAATTATTTTTTCACCAGCTTCCCCACCCTTATTAGTGATAGATATGAAAAAAGCCTAATAACCAAACTGGCGCAAAAATTGATGAAATTTTGATTTCTGCTGTTAAAACAGTATCTTAATATAGCGATTTCTTGAGAAAATTAGAATTTTTAGTTGTATCATCGTAATTGCGCCCCCTAGCGGTCATCTTAGAAACTTGAAAATAATTTCCATCAATTTCTCTTGGCCGATTTAGTGAGGAAAAAAAAATCCCGAAGCCATAAGGTCTATGGTTTTCATAATATCGTACCTTGCCGACCCTAGTGGGACACCCTGTATATTAGCCATTTGTATATACGAGCCCATCAGGTAGGCCAGCAGGCAAGTAATAAATAAAGGGGGTAGCTAGGAAGTATTGCGAAGCTAATGATATTTTGGCATGTTTGTGGATAGTCTTTGGAGAAGAATCTAAGTTTGCGACCTCGAGGACCCTGCGCTAATTTGGGTGTCGATAGACCAAGAGATTTTTGAACTTCTTTAGTTTTTTGCTTATAACTTCTAAACCATGCGTTTTTAGCGGAATGCATCTATTTATAAAGTTGAAGAAAATTTAATTTTCTTCAAATTCAACTTGTCAAAAGTATTCTTTAACGCAATAGTAACCGAGATACAGTGGTTCAAAGATACAAAAAAAAATCTCAATTTGTCAAAAATTTCCTTCCGTCGGAACATAATTCAAACCAAGCATGGGATAAACATCTTTTATCCTCCTCTATTTCACGTGCATTCACAGTCTACTGTACTACCGATTTTTTTTTTATTAGGCGATTTCGCCTCAGTTTGGTACCCCAGTTTGGTCTGTCTATCATTCAATTTCGGATGGGTGGAAGATGCTGTCACAACAACTTTGGTCTGTCAGATGCTATACCGCCGTTTGACTGGGTAGTGGAGGTTTGGTAGCTTTCTGTTTCTCTTTCTCTCATGTCCAAATAAACATGTCAAAGTCAAAATGTACCAAATGCCCTATCCACTGAATTCGGATGAGATTGCGTTGAAGTACGTCACTTACGTACCAATTGGTTAACCATTCGCCTACCAAACAGCAGATGAAAATCTGGGGCGAAAACGCCTATTGTATCCTATTTCAATAATTATTTTTTTCTACAAACGTCACTAAAAGTGTCATTTTCAACGGATGCTGTCAGTGTCTGAAATGCAATTTTATGACACTAGTGTTAAAAGTGATTACTTTTAACACTGAGTGCTAAAAGTAATCATTTTTAGTGCGTTTGTAGAAAAAATTGTGTATGATATTCGTGCTAAAGGTGATTTTATTTTGTTCAAAGGGATGGAACATGGAACACTCCGCCTTTGGCGTCGTGTCCCAAACTTCCCTTTTCACAAAACAAAATGTCACTTTTAGCACTTATATCATAAAACACTATTAGAAATTTACATATTTTTAGACGTTTGCAAAGTTTAGGTTACCTATAGGGCAAAAACCTGCATTTCTATGCTATTTTTGATAATATGGAAAATTACTTGAATTTTTGAACCACTATATCTCAGTAACTATTGGTTCGGATACTTTTGATCTTTTGGTCAATGAAATCATATCTTAAGGATAGAAAACAGTAGGTATACACAATGTGAAGATAAAAAAAGTTGACTTAACATTAACAATACAGGGGTCAGTCCTTGGACCACTTCTTCATTTACTTTATGTTTTGAGTTAAAAAATGGCTTGTCTTAGAGCCCCTCCCCCTAAAGCTACGGGATAGAAAAAAACTGAAAAATAGTTCCCCCTCAAATCAAAAATCGACGTGTCCGAGCGTTTTCCCAGATTTTTATTCCAAATCCAATAAATCGGGGTGGACTGTTTTCCCTGGGACACCCTGTATAATGCCTACTTTTTATCGCATATTAGGTACCATCGTCACCAAAAGTATCTGGGACACAAATAATGCATAATAATCTCCTGGACTAATTCTACTGTCATTCATTTCAATGCTTTTAAATTATAGTTTGACAAATATGTGACAATAAAATTCATGTAATAGGACAAGAGCTAATGTGATGCTGTCCCAGTTACTTTTGGTAGCAATGGTACCTACTCCCTGTGTGGGGTAGGACGCGTGGAGTGGTCGAGTTCAATAACGTAAAAATTTTACAAGGGGAGCTAGGTGTGCCTGACATGCAGAAACTACCGAGGGTTGAGCAATGTAAACTGGTGTATAGGATACCTAATAAGAAACATAAAACCAATATAGATAAACATTATACATATTTACAAATACCTAATATACAGACTTATAATACAAGAACATGTGGTCATATACTTAACAATTGTGAGAACAAACAAAGGGGTGTACAATTCCATATATGTAGCATCAGAGACATAATGAACTACCTGTAAATATTAATTGTTATTTATTTACATTACAAGTGCGTTTATGAACATGATCACACTAACGAGTGTGAAAGATTAGAACGACGAGGTCGTAGACCGAGTCGTTCTAATCACACGAGTTTTGAAGTCATATTTAAACGCACGTGTGATGTACAACGTTTTATCTTGAAAGCGAAAAATAGGAATGTTTTTTCAATTTTTTTCGTTTATTAGTAGTTGTCTACCTTCATTTTACCTCTACAGGCTCAACTTTGACATTTGTCAAATCACCAAAAATAGTTGTGTTATAGATTCATACCCTAGTCCATAACACTACTATAGTTGTGTTATGAATTCATAACCTAGTCCATAACATCACTAGTTGTTTTATGAGTCTCATGACATAACTCCAAATACTAGAAAAATGGTTAGGTAAAAACGTCATAACCATACGCTTGTAGATAATAGTTATTTACGTTACAAGTGCGTTTATGAACATAATTAGAATAACGCGTGTGAAAGATTAGAACGACGAGGTCGTAGACCGAGTCGTTCTAATCACACGAGTTTTGTAGTCATGTTTAAACGCACATGTGATGTACAACGTTTTATCTTCAAAGCGAAAAATAAGAATGTTTTTTTAATTATTTCCGTTTATTAGTAGTTGTCTACCTTCATTTCACCTTTACAGATTTAACTTTGACATTTGTCAAATCACCAAAAATAGTTGTTTATAGATTCATAACCTAGTCTTTAACACCACTAGTTGTGTTATGAATTCATAACCTAGCCTATAACATCACTAGTTGTGTTATGAGTATCATGACATAACTCAAATACTAGAAAAATGGTTATGTAAAAACGTCATAACCAAACGCTTGTAGATAAAAATATAAATAATGCAGCTAGGTTTATTAAAGAGGTGAAAATACATATTGGAATTTAGGGAAGTTGATACATGATACATACAGATGAGAAGTTTAGTTGCGACTAATGCGGAAAATAATTCAGGTGCACAGTAGACATATATCGTCTGTGGGTGCACGTGATAGAGATGAGGATAAAATATGTTCATCCCATGTTTGGTTTGAATTGTGGTCGGCCGGAAGAAATCTCTAAAAAGTT